TTGAAATTGATGAAATTTATTTGAGAATTGCAAAAAAAATGGATATAAAATAATTGAAAAAAATGTTTTATTTTTTTTGTGGCAAGGCTTGGACACTTAACAATATTTTGATAAAGTTGATTTGGTATCCTGTAGTATGTAGTAACTTATTTTTGACAGACAATTTTTCATATCAATTCCTATAAAAGTTCAAGACACAAAATTCAATTTTAAGATCCAAGATTAAGCCTTGTCTGATTCAAAAACCTTAGTTGTCATCAAATGCGTCAATAAATACGATATTTTAGATATATGAATACCTTTTGATACCAAAAATTAACGTAGCAAATTAAACTTATGACTAAAATAGTCCAAAATTAGAGCTTAAATTTAAAAATTATTTATTTCACAGAAATTATCAAATCTAAATTTTTGGATATAGAACCAGAAACAGTTATAGCGACGCATATTTTACCATTTAAAAAATAATTAATTTTCTTTTTGCCATTGTATAGAAACTGTCTATTAATGCAAGAATATTTTTTTTAACAATTATTTGTCTTAGTATGAAAAATTCCATTTTTAAAAAAATTCTTTTTAATATAAAAGAGTCTCAATTATTTTAAAATGAAAAATATTCAACACAAAATTCCGATAATTATTTAAAAATTTTCAAACTTTTGTTCTTTACAGGAATAAAGAATCACAACAAGAAAATATAAATAAAAATAGTAATGGTAATAATTATAATAATTTCACAATATTATGTACAATATAAACTGAAAAAGAAGAAATAAAAGAATCGTTGAAAAGAAAATATGATAAAATAACTAAAGGGGTCGTTCACTTATGACGCCCATCAAAAAACCTGATTTTTAGACCCTCCTCCCCTCCTCTGTCACAAAAATTCTGGAGAAAAAAATTTCCATTGTTTGAACTGTCACAAAATCCTAGACCCCCCTCCCCCCCCCCCCTCCTTAAATGTCGGACGTCATAAGTGAACGGCCCCAAAGATGTCTTTGTACTTGATTTTGTCAGACTCTAATCCACCTTCCCATCCCCACCTTCTCTCCCTTCGACTTATTCGTCAAGCTTGGTTCTTAATAGCTATCATAGATAAGCTCAAGTGCTACCCTAATTCAAATCAAACTTCATTTACAGCAGAAAAAAACAGCCAGTAGCTCTAAAACGTAAAAGTAAGTCTTGCGACACCGAAAGTTGCGCGACATCAAGAGTAAGAGACCTCCATAAAATATTGAAAAATAATCTAAATACAATCGCAATGTAACCATAAACAAATGCTGGAATTCCCCCGCACAACAACTGCGAAATTTTTTTTTATTGCTTCTTTTCTCCACATTCGATGCTGAAAATTGCGTTTTGCATTCATTTTTTGTTTGTAATGTGTCATTTTTCAAGGACTCTAAGATCGTATTGTGTCGACGTTTTGCATTGTTGTGGATTAATTGACGGCATTAAGAGATGTTTAATTTAAAAGCCTATAATCACAAGTGTGGGAAGGTGCAAGAATGTATAGAAAGCCGTTTATGTCTAGTTGCTTTAAGATTTCTAGACAAAGTTATTGACCTCACGGACGCACCTTTTCTGTGTTTATTTTTTATTCTGAATGAATAAATCTTCAACTTTGTGGATGACATGATGAAATGAAAGCGAAAGTAATGATGACTGTGGATGTTTTGACCGGGTTTTGTGGATGATAAATTATATTTTATTTGAAGCTAGTTTTTTAAAATTGAGGTTCATTAAGTAGGTTTATTAACACTTGATGGATCGTTTGAAAATGACGTCTATTTTCACTTCATGTAAAACGTCATTAACATACGACTCCCAAGATAATGATATCATCAGAAATTCGCTCTAGATTCTTATAAATCTCCCCAAGGTACGTGTCAATTTAAAGTATGAAGTGTAAATTGAGCTGTTAATCAAGATTTAATTACAGTTTGCCTGTACTTAACATTTTAATTGCTTAACATTTACACTTAATTTCTAGCATTAACTGAACTAATCAGCAAATAATAAAATCGGTAATAATAAAAAAAATAAGTTTAGTGAACTGTTTCGTACCTAATTCACCATAAATAATTCATCCACAAATAATCTTATTTACATCCAAAAAAAACAGCACAAAAACTCCATCATTTCCATCCAATCAGTCATAAGCTTCAAGTTCTGTTTTTTCACTGTCAAGTTTACATGATTAATTCATGAAATAAGAAGAGCTACCGCAAAAATTATGCAAGTATCCGTTGACGGGTTTTCTACCTTGCAAATAATTCCATTGTTCTCATGTTGTGCATTTTTGCCAATTTAATTTTTTGTTTTATTTCATTTGCGAATCTCAGCAATGACCATTGAAATTACCGGCAATGCTGTTAACTGTTTGTTGAGGTTGTTTGTCATTGCATTAAGGCAGAATGGAGTGATCTTCGTGATGCGATGCATTTTAATATTTACTTCCAACATTTGAGGCTGTGTGTCACTCGATACGCAAAAAAATAAGGTTCCATGACACTCAAGTTGTGCAGACCTGTATCAGAATTTTTTTATGCAGCATAACACTTGACAATAGACCAACAAGAGGTATTATTTTGTATGAAATATTGCGAAAATATTTCCCGTCACTTTGCATACACAATTTAATATAAGTCAGCCATAAAAAGATGAGATTCATGCGAAATGAACAGATTTAGATACAATTAAATAATAAAAGATGTAACAACTTTTTAATAGCACATCCAATGTAATGCAATTAAAAAAGTTTTACTCAATTTTTCATTTCTTTTGTGCGGCTGCAGTCAGCACATCATCATAATGAATATTTTTCATTGTTCTCAAGGTCATTTATACGCCGAAATTACAGCAAAGCATGAATGCATACTCTTTGTGGATCAAGTTTACTGTGTAACCGGCTTAAAATCTTTTATGAATGAATCAGAAGTGAAAGGAAAAGTTGAATGACATTTTGTTATTGTTTACCTGAATATTTATCAGGAAGGACTACAAATTGGAATATAATCTATTTTTAACAAGAAACTAAGCATATCATAAAATTTGGAACTGATTTAACATTGTTTTGTACTGACTTATTAAAAATAAATATTGTTGCTACTTCGAATTTACAGTTAAAATGTTTAACATTAGAATGACAAATGGAACCTTGACTTGACCTGTTCTAGGGCATTGGTTGCTGATTCTCACGATAGGAAAGATACTGTTACTATCTTAAAAAGTGGATATACAACAAACTTGTGGCATTCTGAATTTCCCAAAGAGTTTTTTACACTCTTGATGTTCATTTAGGCTTCTATGCTGAATTCTTAGCTTCGGTTGAGATATTTTAATAAGTTTATTTGCCTTAGGCTTTTGGAAGTGAGTAGATTGAAGAAGTTATAGAACTCTGACAATCATGAGCATGAAAAGTGTCAATTATTCTTTCTTTTAGAGTTTTTGAAATTGAATTTTAAGAATTAAAGTCATTAACTTTTTTTTATAGAGTCACTGAACGTGAAATTTAGGAACGAAATTGATTGTTTCAGAATGAAATCTTTTTTTTATTAAATACAAAGTTCATTGCTATGCTGTAGAGTTGGATGGATTACTCAACAATAAAGCCAAACTAAAGAATTTCCCCAAAATCAAAGATTCATTCATTCAAAGCTTCTATTCTGATTAACACTAAGCCCTACCACATAGCTTATAATGTGGAAATTACATAACTTAAAACCAATTTTAATTTCCATATTAATTTAATGACATGCAGAAAAAATGTTGGTCAAATGAGGCGGAAGATGACCCAACACGTTTTATTTTATACACAGAAAATTATCATAGACCAGCTGTAATCAGAAAAGCAAACACTGTTTTTTTTTGTACGCATGATAATTTCTGTCTGTAAAGAGTCATTTTTTGTTTCATATTCTTTTTTTGCGTAATTTCGTACCTTAACAACGATTATGCATTGTATTCTTGCTGTTGACAGCTCAAGCGCATGATTTACATCAGTGAGTGACTATGGTTGTCTATTTTATGCTACATGTGTCTGGATGGGAAATAAATTCAATAAGTCATAAAACTTGCTACCTAGTTTAATTGGAAATCCACAAGTCCTTTCATTCATAAATGGATGCTTATCGATTTACCACGCAGTAGTATATCTCAAGTTCATTGTCACTGACTTGCATATCCAATACAGAAACAAAGGAAACGATGAAGAAAAATAAGATGATGTTGAACAAGCCACAGAAAAAAATGTCAGACAACAACCAGAAAGCAATCATGTCAAACATTCCTTTTGTTTGTGGATTTTCCAAATTATCATTTGAATGACAATGTTTTTGTCCGATTGCCTTATTGTTTCCGCAAAGTTTTCAACATATTTGATGAGCTATTAATGAATTTTAAGACCTGATGCAATTTTCTGTAATACAATTTTGTATTTAAGTCATTGGATGTCAAGGTTAAAGATCAGACTAAGATTTTTTTAATGGTTTGTTTTGACGCTGCAATGGAAGATTGTGTCTGAAGATGATAATGCTGTTATATAGTCTATGTCAAATCTAGAATAGATATCTACAGATGGTCAATAATATACGAGTCGTGTAGTAGGGGCCTGCATAGTCTCTGCTTCCTTTTTATAGAAGCTTGACTCAATTGTAATGATCCTTGACACTCGTGTTTAGGTTGTGTCTCACTAAATTCTTCCTCGCCGCTTCCAGGTCTTTAACATCTCTCAAAACACGAATGAGTAATTCCTTAACATTTTACCCCTATGATGGAGCATGAAGCTACAACAATTTTGTTTTTGCTTCTATGTTTTGTACTCAGACAATTACACAGACAAGTAATTTCAAGATCACTCTTACCACCATCAACATTATTTATTTTGTTGCTAGTTCTGGGCTGAATTTTTTCTTCTTTTTCAGCTTATAGAAAAAAAATAGCAACGCATATGATGCCTTGCGCTTGGATATATAAAACCAAGAGACACAACACACAGATCAAACAGTTTCTCGTTGCTGCTTGCGTTTGCTTTATCGGAGTGCTACAAAGTTTTATTTTCTTTGTGATATTTTGTTTTATTATCAAGGATAATTGCCATTGATTCCATACAAGAAAGTTTATTGAATTTTTAAAAATGCGTTCGATTGTAAGGAATAAAGTTGATTAAAGTTTGCGAAAGTGAGAATTTTAAAAATTATAATTTTTTGTAGATTTCAGTTGTGTTTTTGGTTGCATTTATTGCATCAAGTGTATCAGCTTTTGGATATGGATTATTAGGAGGAAGTAGTTATGGTAGTGGATATGGTAGTGGATATGGAAGTGGATATGGCAGTGGATATGGAGGATACGGCAGTGGATTGGGGGGATATGGAGGTAAAATTGTGATAAGTGAAAATGATGAAATACGATAATCAGTTATTCTGAGAATTGCAATGAAATGTGGTGAGGATTAAATGTTGAGCCAATATTTTCGGAAGTGGATAATAATTATGAGCATTACTTGATTGAAGATTAATATCGATGATTGGTGTCATTTGCAAGAAATCGACAGCCTTTAATCAAAAATTTTTGAAATAAATTCAAAAGAAATGATAAACTGTGAATGACTAAATTAGCTCGTCCATGAATATTCAATGCCCAAAACATTTTTTTTGGAATTTCCGATAGTATCTATTGCAGTTTTCAATGAGATTTATATCACATCCTTAATTCAAAAAATTTAAATCTATTACTGATCGTTATTCGAATTTCTAGTACTACTGAGCTAGCTCTTTGGTGGTTATGAATATATGATTAGATGCATCAAGTTTTGCACTGTCAAATTTTAATCTATTTTGAGTAAAAACTAGTGTGCAAAACTGATCATCAGTACATGATAAGTTCCTCATTCTTTATTGAAAAAGCTATAGGTAGACTTGAATAAAAATTAAGTTGGCAACATTTCAAAATCTTACATAATACAGAAGCTATGTCCAGTGACCCTTCATCGATTATTATCATTATTTATGTAGCAAAAATATTGAAACATTAAACATTTCCAGTTTTTTTTTTGTCGTGTAGCTTTTTCTAGCACATTAACTCTCATTTCATAATTTACCTTCACCGCATGAGTTGCGACTACCATCGTTACTGATTATAGATTGTTCATGATCATTAAACCTTATAAAATTTGAAATGTTAAATATTTATTAATTTTCTTTTATTTAAAAAGGATATAAACCAGGCTTCGGAGGAGGATATCCAGGGTATGGAGGTGGTTATGGAGGTTATGGTGGTTATAGCGGATTAGGAGGAGGATATAATCGACCAGGAATCTTTGGTGGGGGATATCCAAGTTATGGAGGGTAAGTTTGAATCTCTGACTCAACTTGGAAAATGTAAATTAATAATAAAAAATTTTCTACTCATTTTTGCAGTTATTATGGCAATAGTTTTGGCTATGGTAGTGTCTCACAACAGTGTTGTGATAAAATCAGGACTTTTATAACTTAACATAAACTCTTTTATAGGTAATGGTGGCTATGGAGGCTATAGTGGATACAGTGGATACGGAAATCAATATGGAAGTCAATATGGAGGTGGATATGGAGGCTTCAGACCAGGTTTGATAAAATATAATACATAGAAGTCAAAATGAAGTCAATTCTACAGAACTTTTGATATTCTGTTTCAGGATATGGCGGTTATTATGGTGGATATTACAAAAAATAATTTAGCTTATAAAATTAGATTTTAAAGTTTAATTTCAAATTGTTAAGCGTTGTAGATTCCTAAAACTATTTATCATTTTTCTCTTCCTGCACATTTTTCCTTATCTGACTGATAACTCCTATCCACATAAATGTAGATTCTAACCGATACACAAGAAACTCAGAAGACACCAAGCTCAAAGAATAAGAATTCATGCCAAATTAAAACTAATTTTTTATGTTGCTCATGTGAAGCTATAATTTCATCCTCAAGCGCTTAATAATTCAACATCACCCAAAAATATACACACAACACCAGAAACAATAACAATTGTAATCATTCATCATTCCATTCAATCAGCACGATAATCTGTGATTCAACTCGACTCGTTAATTCGATTACAAACTGCCACACACTTACTGCTTATTATTTTCATTTCACGATAAAAAAACAAAAAGTCCATCATGCATTGCAGAAAGGGCTTTTGTCATCTCACTTCGCATGCCTTTATGTTTTTTGTGTAAATAATTTCATCTCTTTCTACTGCTCATTGTTAATTATAGTACGAAAGATACGAAAGAGAAGCAATGGAAGAGATTAAAAATCTTCTCAATTTCTCCTCTCTTTCTGCATTCGTGATCTTTTTTTATACTTCCAATTCCGAGGAGAAGAAAAGTATCTTTTTTGCAAACGAATGCTAAAATAATGCGAAAAAAAAATAATTTCGCAACGGAAATAAAAAAAAACGCAATTCATTAAGTAATACTTAAGGTGAATTTAGATTGTAAGAGATAGAGCTATGCTTATTGTAATTTATATTATAGATGAGAATTTTTTTTTTTTGTAATTCTTTAAAAAAGACGGAAAAGCAGACAATAAAATAATGAAATTAAGGTTGAAAATTGTTTTGTTTTAATTATTTTTTGGCTTAGTTTTGCAATGTTTTTTTTTGCAGAAATCTTTAACTTTGAATTTATTAAGTTATGATTATTTTGGAATGATGAACAATTTAAACGAGACTTCATGATGCTCAAGAAACTAGTTCCTGTCAAGGGTGAAGTGCTGATGAAATGATCATAATTGATCAAAAATGATCAAAAATTATCAAAAATGAACAAAAATGAACAAAAGTGATCTAAAGTGATCAAAATGTTATTCTTCAGTTCCACACCCTTGGTTCATGTTGCTTGTTTGTTAGGGGCTGTTCACTTATTACGTAACGCGAAAAAATGACTTTTTAGACCCCCCCCCTCGTAACAAAATTTGTATGAAAAAAAAATTTCCTTGTTTGAACCGTAACAAAATCTTAGACCCCCCTCCCCCCCTAAAAGCGTTTCGTAATAAGTGAATGGCCCCTTACCTCTTGATTAAGTTTTAAACTTAATCTGTTAAAAATTTCAAAATTGAAGCTAGTTTTTTAATTTTAGTCTTTCTAGCTTATCCTGCTCTATCTTACTTGCCAATAATAATCCTAGCTACAGTCATAATCAAAAATTACTCAAATCTCCTCAAAATGGGTCTTTAGAATTATTTATTCAACTTTTAAGAGACATTACATAAAATTTCAATCAAGCTCCCTCTCTAATCCTTCCATAGTTACACTTATGATTCCTAGATCAACTTGAGCTTTACTATAACTCAATAAATTAATGATCTATAAACTCACAAAATTCATTCAGCCACAAACATTATCTTCACATCTATTTACTTTCATGACTTCCAACACGATTATCTTCATCGACTATATCAAACTATATTTTATTAGAAAACGATAGAAATAAAAAGAAAGAAGCAAAAAACAAAAGCCACCGACTGTTTATTCGTTTGTGGGAAAGCGCAAGGTCGTTACATGTGAATGAAATTCACAGCTCTATGATCAGCATTTTATGTAAATTAGAAATGATCTTTTTCGCATACTTTGCTTGTCATGCCTTTCCGCTCTTTGTGTGACATCTCTCGTTTGTGGAATTATAATTTCGAGGGCATGGAACCTTTTATATCTTTTATAACATTGGTAGCGCATGTTGTTGATGATGATATCATCTTGATTAGTGACAGATATGCATGTGAATTTGTAATGTAAATACACACACGCACTAATATTTTCGCAAAGTTCAGTTTGTTAATCTATCGTGGGTGATGATGGCCAATGTAAAACTACCAAATATGATGAATAATGCAACCTTTAAGATGCTAATAATATAATGAAATTATTACTTTAAAAACAGGTCAATGTTGGCAACCTTAACTATTATTAAATTAGCTACCTAATTATCCTCATACATTATCAACATTTCTCACCATGAGAATCAGCAACATTCAATATCCATTTACACTGATTTTATTTTCAATTATCGTCGCGTGGGCAGCACAATTAAGCAATTAATGCTTATTCGAAAGTCTTAAGTCAGCACCTTTTTTGCGGTCATACAATCAGTTGTTTTTGCTTTAAAGTTGACAATAAAAACATGCAAATGACTGTTCGAATGTGCAATCATTTAAAAAAGTGCAAAATATTACAATTTACAGTGCAAGAATTTCATCACCGATCACAATGCAAAAGCGAATAAAAGTCAAGCTTGTTGAGAGAACCTACACGCAAAATTCCGATTAAATGTCACAATAGAAGTTATTGCATTTGATGGAATTGATGTTGGATTTGCGACATTTTTGACTTAATAGATTTGTAGGAGTTATGAGGCTACTAGGGTTGCTGGCTACACCTCTGATAGTGATTGAAAGTGGAAATGAAGCTACCAACATCCCCTAGATCAGCTTATTACGATTAATTTGCAAAAATTCTTACAATTTTCACCATAAGTCACATAAAGACATAGAATTTGACTTTCAAAAGTTCTTCCTAATTTAAATCTAGCTGAACTTAACATAAACTAATTAAGCTCCATTGTTCTAAATCAGTTCTACGTCGAATATTAACTTTATGAACACAAAATTTGCGTAAAAGTCAAAAAATAAATTATTTCGACAAAAGAACCAGAACGCTTCCTTATAATGATTAACATTTCATACCTTTTATTTGAAACTCATTCACTGCTGACGTAAGAATTTATGAATTAACCACCTTTTTTCAAGTCTTGAGCCTTTTTAGCTTCCTTTTTCTTCTGCATTTCCTTCTTCTTCCTTTTCTCTTCATTTTGCTTGTTGATCTCAATCTGCACTCTAGCCATCGTTGTAATCCTTTCATTCAGATGTGGATCAAGTGAGCGAGAAAATTTATTGAACAAATCTACGACCTGCAATAAAGTTTGAGGCTTTTCATTAATCTCCAAAGAGAAGGAAGTTGAGAATTTGTGACAAGATCTAACAACCTCATTGATTGAAAGACGTCATTAGGAGACGACCCCAAAATATGCAAATAGAAATAAAACTTATATATAAGTACATGCAATATAAAACAGTATGAATGAATTATTAAAATTGGCAAATAATTGTGTCACTAGAGGAACTACAGCAATTTTGCGCTGTTGCAAAAATTTAATAAGGCTAGCTGTAATTGCAATATGCATTTAATTTAATAATGCATTTAACACTGCATGCCAAATTTACATTGAGACTTAACACTTAAACTATTTCCATGACCTTCCTCACATCCCTTTTTTAAACAATTCAGCTTACCTTCTCATCTGCTGGCTGTTTAGTCGTTATTAAGTTTTCTAGAAACTCACGGCTGGTCAATGGCTTATATTTCAGGCTGTATAGTAAAAGCTTAAAATAAGTCAATGAATCATAAAACTTTTGTTTATAGTTTCTTACTCTACGCTGTCTTTTGAGGCACGCCATGTGTTGATTGAGTCTAAAATATCGCCGACCGAAAAGTTACGTGTAGCTTGAGCTAGAGATGACACGTCAACATTTAATATTCGTTTTAGTTTGAGACCTGTTTTCCATGCCATAACTGCTGTTCCATAGTCAAGTTTTGCTGGAAATACTGCAAACTTCTCATAGCACTGCCTCATTTGTAGGAAATTGCAGTTCCATGGCTCATTTGTCACACCGATAAGCTTGACAGCATCTTCATTTGTTAAGTTCTTTACGATATTTTTAAGCAAGTACTTTCCTAATTTACGAGGATCCTCAACAGCTACATCACTGCTTATTCGTCTGATAAATGGCTTATGAGCGCCATCAATAAACAAAACACTCGGCTGGAATTTCACAGCCATTTGGATGATGAGATTACAAAAATATGGCATGTCATCGACTTGTTTAATTTTTGGTGCACTCAAGTCAAACATTACAGCATCCATTTCAGTGCATATGGCATCGACAAGAAACTTTTTACCACATCTTGGCGGGCCGATGATGCAAAATGATTTTGCAGATGTTCCGAGAATTTCAGTTTGGATGTAGTTTTTGATGTCACCGTATTGAGGTGTTGGATCTTTATTAGCTTGTCGGAGATTCATTGCTGCATAGCTGTAATCACCAATAAAGTCACGCAATGATTTTTTGGTGTATTTAACGATTATCTGAAATTTTTGGTAGATTAATAAGCAGCCTAAAATCCACAAGAACTTACATTTAATTGCTTTAGATCCTGATAATGCTGCTCAATACTTTTATCCTCAAAGACATCCACAACTTCCTGCTCTTTTGTCTTTTTCTTCTTCTTTTTCTTTTCCTTTTTGGGTTTTGGTGGGACATACTTAGTCTTGGCATCAACAGCTAAAGCAATCCTCAAAAGTTCCAATTCAATTCTCATAAAATTGTCGACAATCAATCGAAGTTCTTTATGAACATCAGAATATGCATCAGCAGTAACAAATTCCATTTCTGGAAGCTCCTTGCGATTGTTGAAGGTATCGTCAATAAACTTCCAGTCATAGTGTCCAACTGTATAGATCTTTTCAAAACTTTCTGTAAATTACATTTCATGAATTTCTGTTTCAAAAAATTAAAAAAGTTCCTCACCAAATGCTTTCCATTCCTTCATGTCAGCAAAGTTCCATGTTGGTCCTTGCTTCAATTCCTTTTTCTTCCTCTGGATTTCCTTTTTCTTTTCATTTTCTTTTTCCTTTTTTGCTTGTTTCTTTTTTTCCTTTCGTTCCTTCTTTTTCAGTTCCTTATCTTTAGCTTTTTCAGCTGGTGACTTATTCTTCTCAATTAGAAACTCTTCAGGAGTTTTAGTCTCGCCCCGCATCACCATGATTGTTCCACCTTCAAACTCTTCTGGATACCGATGAAAGTCCTTTGCTGTCTTGTAGAATTCATAAAACCAGGCACGGATGTCATCTGTTATGTCCTCCATAATCATCTTAGACTTAACTTTAAGAATGCAAGCTTTTTCATCTTCAATTGCTTTAATTAACGCTTCATCGAATTCCTTCTTTCTCTCGCGACGTTTCTTCATGTGGACTTCCTGAATTTCAGCAGCTGTTGGCATTTTCTTTTCAACAGGTGTCTCAAGCATTTGGTAAAGATCCAGTCGCTTGTTCTCTCGCCTTTTTATAGCCATTTTATGCTGATAATAGAAATAATTCCGTTGAATGACACGTGCTGCATTATTTTGAACTTTTAATAGCTCTGCAGCTTTAAATAATTCTTCTTCATGCTTCTGATGTTGTGATTCTAAATGAAGCTGCCCAATTCTTTTTTCAACAATTTGAAGAATCACCTCAAATTCTTGTTCTCCTTGATATTCTTCAGTCTTTACTTTCTTGACTAGAACCTTTCGTCCGAGTCTGTTTATACGAAATGTAGGCGGTTCATAAAAATCATAAACCCTAACATCCACTGGATGTGCATAAAGATCCACAACCCGTCTTTTGCGTTCTAGTTTAAAGAATCCATGCTGCCCTGGACGATGGTAGAAGTTGTATGGATAGTCTTCAAATACTTCCTCATCATCTGAGTTTGGTGGTTTAAAAATCTTTGGAGAGTGCTTCATATTTACACCTAGAATCTTTAACTGTCGCTTTCTCTCATAATACTTAATAGTATTTACAGCATTTGTTAAAACTTTTTTGATTCTTTGTGCCTCAATTTCTTCAGGCGTCAATACTGGTCGTAACTTGTCAAGACCTTTTGGGGCATCCTCAATTCTATCCTCAACTTTCGGAATTTCATCCAAAATTATTTGCTCTTCGATTCCTCGTCTCCTTGGAAAGTAAAATGGTCGTAAAAATTCAATGTCATATGGAACAAAATTCAGCTCAACTAAGGCATCATCAACATAAACAAACTGACTCATTTCGATCTTTTGAATGTCCTTCTGAATTTCTTTAAGCCGCTCTTGAGATGAAATCAACAAGTTTTCAATTAGCTGCCTCTTTTGGGCTTGTAATGTCTGATCGTAAAGTTCAGATAAATTGTTACACAGCACTACATATTTGACATATAAGTTTGCAATCAATTCGTGTGCGTAATTTCTATCCATTGTTGGCTGTAGTTTTCTCAGGACATTCTCACATTTAACGACATCTTTAAGGTCATCCTTTGTGGCTATCCACATTTTCCCGTAGGTTTGAAAACTCATGATTGTGGATTAAATTTAGAAAAATTGATTTTGATGAATTTCAAAGTTATTATGATGGGTTTTTACATTAAATTATCAATTTCGTCATCAATAAGTAGCATTGAGCCTTATTAACGATCAGCACGAGCTCACCAAAAATCATTAATCACTTCATAGGATATTTCATAAACGACGTGATTTTTAGACTCTATAGTTGAGGTTTGCTATAAAATTTTCTAGCACTAAACTGTTCTCACTTTATAATAGTCCATAAAATTGAGATATCATAGCTGAATGAACCCCATCATTTACACTGACATAATTTCACCTTCTCACCGATATAAACATTGCCATTTCTTCGTCGATTTCTTGGATAGCAATATGACGACATGTTTACAATTCCATAAATAGAAGAATCGACTAGTCACAAACAACAAATAGATCTCCCACGCAGGACTAATGGGTTCATTCGTAAATGATGTCAAACTTTTGTGGAGTTAAGATTTGTGACATTTCCATACAAAAGACAGAAGAGAGAAGAGTCACAAATTTCATACTTTGATTGACGTTATTGACGAACAACCCCCGAAGAAAAAGTTTTAATTTTTGCACAAATCCAAAAATGAGGTTTGTAAGTTAGTAAATTGTTATGTAAATTTTTGTGGATTTTTTAAGTAACAATCTTTGGCGAGACATAAAAAAACCTCGTGCCCAGCTGTTTTTGTAATGCTGTAGAAAAAAAAAGTCTCCCACAATTCATAGCACGATGAAGTCACACATTACTAATTTCACTTTCGTTTTCATCCAAGCTGAAGCAAAATTGTATGTCTGTTTCTTTCTGTTGGCTGTATGACATTGTGAGATTTTATGGAACAACCATTGATAGTAAACAGAGGAGAATGATGCTCTTGAGTGGCACAGCTAGCTTTTGTCGCATGGATGGGTGAAAAAATTAAAAGAAAAGTTGATGATTATTTTGAGTTTTCATTCAGTCATTCGGCGAAATTGATCTCGAACTGTTCAAAAAAATAAAAGAAAAGAAATTGAAATTGAAGAAAAAAGTGAAAAGTGCTGTGAATATGAGCAATTAAATGCTGAGTAGAAGTGAAATAAAATCTAGTTCCAAAAACATTAAAGCCCAAAATTCATGAAATAATGAACCGGAATTACTCAAAATATCCAAGAACTTTTATTGTGAAAATTTAGTGACAATGATGCACAGATTTAAAGTTTTGCTGCTGATTCTAGTTCAAGCAGCTAAAGAAATCAATCAAATGCCAATATCAGTGCCACCTGATAACTATCCAGCTGGTCGATTCCATCACAATGCATTCTATAATAGATTGCCAGGTGATAGACTACAAATGGGATATCCAATACAAACCGATCCAATAACTAATGATAATTCAGTGACTGATGAGTATGAAGATTATGATGAGACAACAAAAAGACCTGCTGCAAATGCACAATATTCAATTCATAATTATAACAGTAATAGCTACAGTCCACTGCTTACTGAAAATTTTATAAAGCATAAAAGAAGACGACGAAAGAAGATTCGTCGTCCATGCATTCCTATCCAATCCATAAACTCAAATTTATACTCAAATAATCGATTTAAACGTGAAGAAAGGAAGGAATCAGGAAAGACTTTTGGGCTACTTGGCGGTTTACTAGGAAATCGATATCCTTTCGCATACCCTCAGGGAGTTTATGGAACTCCATTTTATGGAAATTATTATGGTGGTGGAGGTGGGTACCCAAATAGACCACATTATGACAATGTTAGACCACCACAATATGATGATGATAATGATGATAAGCCACAAAACAGCAATAATAGACCTCAGTATAATAGACCACAATATGACAATGCACCACTTTATAATCCTGTTGGAGGATATCCATGCATTCCAGTAAGTTATGGTCATGTCCCATTTGGAGGTCCTTTAGGATTCTTCGGTCAAGGTGGATTATTTGATTCTGGTGTCAGTCCATCAATTCAAGTACCACAAACAGTCATCATAAATCGACCACCATTATTTGGAAATAGACCTCCACTTTTTGCTGGTTCTGGACAAGGGGGTGGAACACAAAATGATGGACGACCTCCTGGATTTTGGGGATCTGTCGTTGACAAGCTTTCAGAATTTGTGAGTATTTAGTGAAGATACTGTTAAGGGGGGTTCACTTATTACGTTAAGCAAAAAAATGACTTTTTTTCACCCCCCCCCTTGTTACAATATGTTACAACTCACAACCCCCCCCCCCCCCCTTGAACGTTCATAATTTATTTTATCATTAAAAAGGTAAAAAATTTAAAAAATGTTTTTGGTATGAATTTGTATGACCCCCCCCCCCCCCCCCCTTCAATTTTTCAAACCCCTCCTCCCCCCTAAAATGTGAACGTAATAAGTGAACGGCCCCTAAGCTATAAATTTTTTTTGGAAGTTGGGGATCGTTGATAAATGACGTTCTGAAATTTAAAATCTTTGGGTACGTGATAAGTGAAATTGAGTCTTTAAGAAAAATTACATTAAAAGTTTTTTAATTGTGTGAATCTGTGCTAATCTTATCCAAGCAGTGCCATTTGTAAATCAAAATTAAAGTCGCAGACATCTTTCATCACGCATTTTTTATGGATATCCATTTATATCACAACTTTTACGACCCAAAACTTAGCAAAAAAAAAAATTTTTATTATTTATTTCCATTTTAATAAAAATCCAGGTCACATCAGTGAGTCCACAAGCAGTTTATTCAGCACTAGGTGACACACTTCAAAATTTTGGCGGTGCAATTCAAAACACACAACCAGCTGGAGAGGCAACAAGTGTCGTTGACAATGCAGTTGATTCGATTCGAAATGGCTATAGAGAATTCACGAGCTTACTATTCCGATAATCAGCAAAAATTAATTCATTTTCAGTGACTTTATGGATATTGAGAATGGAAATTAAGTTTTTTTTGAGATTTTGACTTTTGGCAATTTTTTTTGAATTTTCATTTTTTTTTTTATATTTTTGGAAGTACCTGAAAATTTTGCAAAGATTGTCAAGAGATAGAAGTGATTAAATTTTGCTACAAACAATTTGTACCTATAATTTATTGCATAATTTTGCTACAAAAATAAAAAAGTATAAAAAATTAAAAAAGGAAATGCAGCATTTCTGTATTAAGTCATGTCAGGTGTCAATTATTGAGTCATCAAAAAAAATCCAGGTTTTATGTAATAACGCGAATGTCTTGAATTCGTGGTAAGTTTTCATTGTGCTTTACAAAGTCCAAGTAGGTGTCTTCAACTTGTCCCATGATTCTTCCCATGAGTGCATCATTGTTCCATAGCTTGTTGTTTTCTTGCTGTACAGCTCCTAGATACGGTTCAGTAAATGTTGCTCTGAATAATTGTTGAGTTCTGTCAGGTCCAAGAGCTCCCAAAAATCTACTTGGTGGTGGTTGAGTTGTTTCTATGGGCTGCGGTGAATCAGTTGGATTTGAGCAATTACCGCTGTAAAGATAGAAGCAGAACAGACATAAATTAAAAAGATAATCAGAAATTTGGTTTTAACAAGTTTTTAAAGTTATTTATTGATCTTAAAGATTCATATGGATAATTTATAATGTTCCTTTATATGCTTTGTGGATTAAATACTAAATTGACCTAAATTTTACATCTACATGTTCCTAAAGTCCTAAGTTCTTCTTATTTTTCAGCTTAAACTCATCCAGTAAATTCAAAATTTGATCTCTAATGGAAAGTTTTGGTTTTTCATCATGTACTTCTCTTACTACTTGTTCCTTCACTTCCTCAACTTCACTAATTTCAGGATTTTCTGCTGCTACTTGCGGTTCTTCATCAGGTAAGTCTCTAACATACTCCTTAATCAATTTCACTGTATTGCTTGTTTCCTCATTTGTAGGACTTGAATTCATTGGATTTGGGGCTGCGACTATTGGAAAGTTTGATCCATAATTCACTAAAGTTTTTGGATTTGCATTCACATTACTGATCATTCTGATGTAGTCTTGGTAGCTTAAGAAGTCATTCTTGTACAATTCATTTCCTGAACTTTGATGTGATTGTGGATAATTTTGTGGTGCTGAGCTTAATTCGTGACAAACTGCTAGTAAGTCAGGTCTGGATGCTAGTGTATTGACATCTTTACATACCACATTAAAATCCATATCAGCATGAATAGATGGAGATGAATATGAGTCAGTTCTACTTCCTTTTGATGATTCTGCAGCTTTAAATTGCTCAAAAATTTCACTCATTTCATTCTGGAAGTGATTATAACTTGACTGCATGCGATTAAGGAGATTGTGGTAATTTTCATAGTTGCAGTTGCAAGTTGGAGGATGAACTTGCTGACTATGGGAAGTTGGCATTTGAATTGAGTTCCTTGCGTTGTTTAAATTAAACCTTACATTTGCAGCAAGTTGTTGTGCAGTTCCATAATTTGTAGACACAAAAGAGTTTGGTCCAATATTAGGAGCACCGACAACCTCATCAACATGATTTTGAGATATTTGAGAGGCAGACTGTGGCAAGTATTGTGAAGAATCTTGAGATTGTGAAGATCCTAAAATTTCATTACCAGAAAATGGAACTTCAACATTATTGTCATCGACCTGAACAGACTCAGAAGCTTCATTAGCTGAATCCAAACTTTCATTAGTATCACCCAAAATATTCCCATGAATGAGTTTATCGGACTTTAAAGGCAATGAAATTTTATCAAAAAGTGATTTAATTCCACTAACCGGAGGAATTGCTTGAAATTGAAGGATTGTATCTTGTGGAACATTATCCATATGAATCTGGGTTGGAAAAAGACCTTTTTTAACAGTTTCATACCTTTCACAGTTCTCTGATGGATTGCTGACTAAGTCTTGTGTTGAGTCATCAGCAGCAGCATTAGGATTTGGAGCTCCAAGAAGAGGAATGCCAGAAAAAGGTGAACCAGATAAAGGAAGACCTAAGAAGATTGGATCTGTGAATGTGATACATCTTTTACTATTTGTCGATGGACTTGGAACTTCACGTCGTCGTCTGCTTGATTTTTTGGATTTTTTCTTGGATTTTTCTGTGGTCGTTGAAACTACATTTGCGCTTCTTTCGTCAGTCGATGTCGTTGATTGTGTTTTTGTGGTCAGTTCGTTTGGAGAGTAGCAAGATGCTGAGGTCGTCGTCTTATTTGATGAGGCTTCAGTTGTTGTGATCTTTAAATCTTGAGATTGACCTGGAATAGAAATAAAAATAAATTTTTTGACTGGAAGTAACAGTACTTCATCCTTACCTACCTCAGTTTTCACTTCAGAATCCAAAGGCTTTTCAGCTTCCATATTTCTTGCACGATAACCATTGTAATAATTATTGTACTGAACTGGCTGTGCTGCAGCTGGAGCAGGTTTTGTGTAAACTGGCTTTGTGTATGCATGATATTGTGGTTGATGATAATAAGTGGGTTGATGATATGAAGGCTGATGATAATGTGGCTCTGGATGAACATGGATGTGTGCGTGACTGGAATTAAATCAATTTTAAAATATATAGAAAAGCAAATTTTATTTTCAGTTTACCCTCCTTTGTTGAATTTATCCTTTTTGGAATGGAATTTATCAAACTTTCCTGCCTTCTTATCGCTGTTGAACAAAACACAAAATTTTATTATTTAATAAAAAAAATTGGAAGCTATAAAGCTCACTCTTTCCAACTCCAATCCCAACTTCTCTCATCAGCGTTTGCTTCTGATGCTGATTTTTCAGATGATTCATAAGTTCCAGCTGGCTGTACAATTGGTCCAGCTGGTTGTGGCTGTATTTGCTGATGATCATATTGTGCGCGGTATCCTTGAGCAGGACTTGGTTGATAATCTGTAATAATTTGTGGCAATGGTGACTGATATGCTGAATAGATTTGTTGTTGATATGGCTGATAATTTTGTGGAGCTGCAACTTCATAACTTTGTCTTGCTGCGACTTCGTAGTTTTGTGGTGCTGCTTCATATCCTGAATAGCTTTGTGGTGAGGCAAATTCGTAGCTTTGTGGGGATGCAACTTGATAATTCTGGTAGCTTTGAGCACATGAGCAAGGAGAAGCACCAACAACTGAACCGGATTGATCATCATTTGCCCATTTTTTCCACCACCATTTTCCACCATGTCCATAACTGGCAGTATCAGCTTGTGCTGAAATTTGTGGATCAACTTGATATTCAGCTGCTTGGTATTGACTAGCAACTTGTGGATCAGCATATTGAGCTTCAGCTTGTTCATCAGCCATTGGATTTGGTGCACCCAACAATGAATTTCCATACATTAAACCACCGAAATGTCCAGCATTTAAGTTACTGAAACGAAGTCCAGGAAGCCCTCCAAGCCCTCCAAGACCTCCAATTCTGCCAAGTCCTAATGGAAGAATTGGCAAAAGTGGTGAGCCTACAATTGGCTCCTCTGCTGCTTCTCTATTTTTATCACTTTGAACTTGTGGTATGACTTGTTGACTATATTGCGGTTGATATTGAGGCTCTGCATCCCAAATAATTCCATTATATTGAGCACTTGCCAATTTTATGGCAGCAGTTAGACACAAAATTAACTTAATCATTTTTTTATTTTGCTACTTAACACTATCAATTATACTAGATCGATGTTACCGTTTTAACTGTCCGAATTAAACTAACTTCTGTTCACGACGAATGCTCGAGCGATAGTCCATTTAAATTTTGCATAGAGCATACTATTTTATAACTTTTTCTGCAAGTTCCACTCTTTTTTGCACTTCTGCTTTCATCAGCACTTCAGCTTGACATTCTTATTGAGTAATCATAACAGTAGCTTTTTGGAAAATATTTAATTATGCTGCTGAAAAATGTGTGTATGTTGAAATAAGGAAGAGCTGCGTTAGTAATGGGAGTCATTCACAAATGACGTTAATGAAGATTACGACGATAAATCATGGCATAACGTTAAGAACAAATAAAATTGACTCAACTGAACATCATTTACAAACAGCCCACACAGAACATGAATCATGTAGGAAATGAAAGAAAAAGCATGTCTTAACTTTAAATAAATTAAAATATTATTCATTCTTTTTATTTTTTAATAATGCCACTTTTACATTGCTTTTAAGACACTTTAACAATAGTAATAATAAGTAACGATAAGGTAATAATCTTAAGTCTATATCTGAAAATTCTATCACATACGAATGGAAGCATTATTTATAGATCCATTTTAGAGATCCATGTATACGACAAAACATGCAGAAATTGCTGCAAGAAAACTGAAGAAGCTGGCTGCATATAAAACAGCAGCTGTTGAGTCAATAAATGTGATGAATGAGCCAATGCTCAATGACATAGTAAATTGTGCTACAAAAAGCATACTTCCGACAATTCCACAATCCGTACCAAGTCCTCTTTCAAATACTTCTATTGGCTCTACCTTCTCAGCTAGCTCATTGTCTGGATTTCTTACTTTATATGTTTGCTTGCTGTGATATTGAGCGACAAGCATAAATGGTATCGTGAATAAGGTCGCATACACAACTCCTGCTGTTGTTGAAAATACAAGAACTCCAATTTTCGTTGGGAACTTGCCTAAGAATGCCATAGCCAAACCAAATTGTGACAATCCACCGACATAGACATATTTTGCTGAGAATCTTTTGATGAGCTTCTCAATTATCATTGAATATAAAGCACATGCAAAGGCATAAACTGCCATACCCATACATCCAAATCTAATTCCTTGATCATAGAGCTAAAAAATACAAAGGGATTAATAAAAGCTTTCAGAGCCAAACTACAAACGTAATGACTATTACCTCATACTCAACAGAATCTGGATCAGCTGATGGATCTCCACCAAAAACAGCTTCGCCAACGAAATCTGTGAAATACAGACAATACACGATATGTCCCATCCAAGCCAAGCAATTCGTGATGCATAAAATTCTTAACGATTTCGGCATGAAAATGATTGACTTAATATACATCATCTAATTAAAAGAATATAATTAAGACACGGATATGCATATAAAGTAATTAAAAATCTTACAAAAGTGACACTTGATTCATCATTCTCATCATCGTCGTCATCAGAACTGCTGATTGAAGATGAGCTGCTTTTTACAACTGTTTCTGTGTAGTTCATCACTTCACCATTGGTAACTCCATTAGACTTAAGCTTTTCAGACACAACCGTTGCTGTAATTGGTAATTCCTGCAACTGGAACTTTCCATTTTCGATGGCTTTAAGTTTCTCTTTTTCTTTCTTGACTGAAATTTGTGTTAATGGACGAAGCATTTCGTCTGATTCGAGAAGTTTTAAGGGAATTTCTCGGAAGCTTGATATCGTTGTCAGCATGCATAGAATAAATATTACAGTCACTAATGCAAAAACTGGGGAATGAAAATTAATTAAGATTTTGATGATTAACATTTTAGGATGGGACATAGCAGAAGTAACTTATTAGCTAAGCAGCAATCATCACTTACCAGTTTTGATGTTATCGCCAATTAAGTTTGCAAAAACAGTTCCATTCCAGTCAACAGCACCAAGAGCATATCCAAGACATCCACCGATTCCAGCCATAATTGTAAAAGTCGATAATGCTTTACCATGTTCCTCAGACAAACATACATCCAACAAATAAGCACGTGAAGGTGTTTGACAATTGTCTGCTGAGAAATCAAGCATAAGTGTACCAAGAACAGAGAAGAATAAAGCCCAGTAAAAACTGCTTCCTGAAAGTGGGGCATTCGATTCATATAGCACGTTAGTAAGGTTTGAGTTCACTGTATTATTAGTAATAATTGTAATATCATCATCATCTTCCCATCCACCAACAAATTCTCCTATCAGTCTTCCATAAGGTGCTAAAAACAGCCCTAAAATGATTCCGATTGATAAAGTAAAAATAACAGGACGTCGTCGTCCAAATGGTGATGCACATCTATCCGATATTGATCCCAATATTGGAGATAAGAAGAATCCTAAGAATGGTGATAATGCCCACACTAGAGTCATGTGTTTATGCTCAATACCAATCGATAAAAGAATCGGTGACACAAAAGCTGTTTCTGCACTGTAGGCAAATTCGATTCCCATAATTATCAACGAGAGTCTTATCAGCTCGAACCTCGTTTTTCGTCTAAAAACATGAGAATAATCCTGATCTTGTCGTCTTGCATGATCTTGCCTTTCTTTGAGCATTCGCTGACCTGATTGGATAGAAATTCATTTCTTAGATATTTAAAGATTCTAAAATAATTTCAAACTTACGAACTGGATCATTCTCATCCTTAACACTTTTACGTCTCTTACTGATTGCATTCACCATCTTTGTATACTCGTTCGTTTTGTTTCTGTTGAGCTTCTGATGAATAAATTTTTCTATCGTCAAATATAAGGGAACATTAAAGAGAGAGAGAAGAACATTTGTTATTTAATTTATTTTATAAGTTTTTAGTCGTGAAAATATCAATATTATTCTATAATGAGATGCACATTTCAATACTATCTTTGAATCAGCTGCATGTACCGGGAATGGGAGAGTTTTTTATGTGTATTATTATGCAATGATGATTTTTTTCATGAAATCGAAAGAAGTTTTATGAGATTTATGGATTGAATTGAGAGTATTAGGGAAGGTCACTAAAGGATCGATGAAAATTAAACAATCTGCAATTGTTCGAAGAAAGATTGCATAGACTAAAGCAAAATGAGTTTGGCACCTTAAATTATGCAACATATGTATCAAGAGAGAGTGCAAAATAATTTGGGAATTAATAGAACTCTATCAATAAGTTTACTCTCCCTAGATTAGTCTGAAAAACACATTTCATGTTCTTAAAGCTAGTGTTGATACAAAGTTGCCTTTGTCCAGATTTTGCCTTTGATCGAGCAAAGTCATGCCTTTGCAAATACTGAAAAAAGGCAAAGGCAAAAAAAATTGCCTTTGACAAAGGCGAAGGCTTGTGCCTTTGATTTCAAATTGCCTACGCTTTGGTCAACCTTTTTAAAGTCAAGTGCTAGGTATCAACACTGCCTTAAGCTTTATTCTCACTTAAAACGATTTCTAATGTTAGGAACTGAATTTCGATTTAGATGCATTGTCATTGATTGCTAAAGCATGTGGATAAACCTCATGAGAATCATCATTTACAGTTGGTTTTGCTACTAAAGCAAGCCACTTACTCGAAGTTCTTTTACATCGTTCACATTAGGAATCGACCATACTCGAGATAACCAAGCATTTAACTCATTTAATAAGTCATTCACCATTTACATAAATTCGTAACTGATTTGCATCACCTTAATCTTATCTTAAACTAACACGATAACTGATCTTTAGGAACAATATTTATCAACTCTTAATCTATTAGAAACAAGAGCAGTCTCAAATCACCGTGAGAGATTTCCACATAAATCTTATAATAATTTACCTCATTTATTTGCTTGCTATCTGATAAGAAAATATTAAATAATTTATTTACACGAAGCTTACACGACTGAGTGAGTAAAATTATGAGCTCTAATATTATTAATTCTCTGATTTGCTCGTGCTGTGTTTGAAATCACGTTTAAAATTTGACAAATTCTAGTTTCATCACTTTACGATGAGAAATAGACGTTTGTGGGGAAATTTCATATTAGTAGGTTGATTAATATTCAGAAAATGCACGATTCTAATTAGAATCTTGACAGTTATTATCGAAAGAATGAAAGATTTTGTAAAGTCTTATGACATTATGCAAAGTTCGCAGTTGATTAACAAGTTTTAATGAAAATTGATGCGACTTAGGAAATTAAGGACATCTAAGGGTCATTTTGATAGGTTTTGTGTGTGAGGCCGTTCACTTATTACGTAACGCTTTTAGGGGGAAAGGGGGTCTAAGATTTTGATACGGTTCAAAAGAAATTTTTTTTCACACAAATTTTGTTACGAGGGGGGGGGGGGGGGCAGGGGGGTCTAAAAATTCGTTGTTTCGCGTTACGTAATAATTAAACGGCCCCTGTCAGTTTTCTCTTAATAATTAATAAAGAATGTTAAACGTAAGTGAAGCTGGCAATTCTGGCAATACTTCTGATGTTAAGGAAGATCAAGTTGATCTCAAAAACTGTTATTTAATCTTGATTGTTGTAAGTTTAAATAATAATATTTATTAAAGATAATTTACTATTTAAAGAAGTTATATGCATAATTTTTTTTTAATGCATGATATCCATTATATCCAACAATAAAACTTCTGTGACATTGTTCTACGTATTATTTATTTAAACTGATCGATGAACAAAGGTTAGAAGAGTCGCAAAAAAATTATCCTAAATTAAATACATACAAAATAGCAGATTTAAATTAAATTATTTGACAGATATTGACAATTCGTGATTTTAATATTAAAATAAAAAGATTAAATACTTAAAGCATTTAGATGCAATGGAAGTGCAAAAAGTCAAAGTGTCACATTTTCAATTACACTGTTTAGACGAATAACACTTCAAAAATCTATAGTTATTTAATTTCATGAAGAGATAAACTCAATACAGTCACTATAAAGAACAGCCATCATAGAATATTATTAAATCAGACAAAAATGTTTGAAGAATTACTCAAAATCATCTAGAAATGACACTTAATCACCATGAGAAACTGAATTTTATCGCATGTTTTAAATCTCTTAATCATTTTACAACATTTTAAATAAACTGTGAGGATATTTGCAATATCAAAAGTGATTTTTTACCCAAATAAATTATGAATTTACACGAGATCATGCTGGAAAATTGCATTAAAAAATTTAATCATTTTTAACATAAATTTTTGCACCTTAAAATGATTTTAACATAATTTATGTTTATGGAATAAAACACTCAATGGGAAGTCTTGTTCATATCTTAAGATGTAAGTTTAAAATTTCATATTAACTTTAAATATTGAATTTTAAAAATTCCAACATATATAAAAGTCCTGTAAACCTAATTCCATAGTTTAATTTCTTCATTTTTCACAATTCAGGAACTGAGGAATTTTAAATTATTCACAATTTTATTGTTAAAACTCACCAAATATCAACAATTAAAATAAAATAACAAAAGTTCTTAATTAAATCAGTCTTTATCCTACGAAATTTATAGTTTATTTGATCTTTGGTTATGCCTTGATGGACCTTTCTCATAACTTTTATTATTTTTTGCTAATCCACTTTTAAAACTTTTCTATTTATTCTTTTTAATCTTGAGCTAGTAATTTTCCATTCACAAAAATGAAAGTCAAAGAGTTTCTTATCAGTCACAAAAATTACAAAAAATTTCCACTGTCCTCTTTTATCTTCCTTTCACGATCACGTTTGGCTAAAAACTGAGATCTTAAAAACCGAGAACCGATGGTTTTATACAGTTTAAAGATAAAGGCACGTATGCGGATGAATAAGAAGATAAATAAATGAAAAAAAAAGATGTCAAGCAAGGAAAAGAAGATACGCACCAGAGTCAGTAATATTTATTGCTTTAATAAATCAAATGAGGAACTTGAATGTTCTAAAACTTATCCAGAAATGCCCTAAAATCATTCCTTGCATTAGATTTTAACAGAAAATGTGGGACAAGAAATCACAGAAATTAATTAGAACTTCCAATGCAATTGCATCGTAAAACAATCCAATGGAAGCTTGCCTTATCTGAAATATTTCGTTGTATCATGAAATGTCGTGCAACATTTCTCTTTTACGATTTAAAAACATGCATAATCATTATGACTCCTCATCATTCAATGCTAGTTGGAAGCCAGTCAACAACAATAATAAATGATTATAGGAAATGTTAATTTAAGTGCTTTTAATGTCTTTATATCCTTAAGATTTTAAAATGTTTGCATGAGGAAATGGTTATGAGGAGTTGATAATGAAATGTATTGCGAATTAATCAAGGATTCTTGATAAAAAAATTAGTAAGGTTTCGTTTTCTGCAATTTAGGTCAAGATGATTGAGTATTGACTTAAAAACTTTGTAATGATCTTTCTTGAATTAAAGTGACATTTTTCTTCACAAACGTTGATTTATGAATTATTGATGAGTCATCACATAATGCCATGAGCCAGTATCTAGGGTTATCTGAGATACCATACATTTGAATCGGTGAATTTCAGTTTGAGGCATAAATTAAATCAAGGTATTTTACACTAAGTATCCCTAGAAACTGGTCTCAGGAGTATTGTTAAATTTTTGGAAGACATAATAAGTTTGAACTAGATCATGAAGTCTAGTAAAGTCAACATATACTTGACTTCAAGCTCTAGATAGAACTAGATAGGAAAGACACGATTTAGACTCAAGTGCTGAATTAATTAATGAAAATCATTCTCTTTATCATCGTTTTTCATTAGCAAAATACTAAATTTGACAATCCCGAACAAATTTATTGCCATTTAGGTGCAACGAGTCAATAAAATGCAATCCTAATTAAATACCAGGTTGAAGAAATCGTTACAATATTCTTAAATCAAATCAATATAAATCTATGCTTGAATCTTTCAAAAAACATTGCATTTTATTAATTTTGAAATAATCATTAAAATCCTTGCAAATTTCACGTAAACTCTTAGGATTGTTCTTTCCATAATTGGACAAATCAAAACGATCATCAAAATTAATGATCGAGGAACAAAACAATATAAAAGTTTTACTTCTTTCTAGGAAATGATCATCTTTACCAAAACAATCATTCAAACTGATTTGAACATAATAACTTCAACGTTATCTTGTCTTGCATTTCTTAAGTAATAAAAACTGAAATATGATCATAAAATTCTATCCTATGCTCAATTTTGAATTCTTGCTCTACATATTTTCTAACACAATCATACTGCCATGCATCTGCTAATGTCAAGGTCACATGTTCTTGAAATATGAACCCAAAAAAAAATATTTATCTTAAAAATGGATTTTCTGAGAAATATGATCTCTTTCTATGCAAGCAAACTCTTTATCGCTAAGAGATGCATAGGAATATTCCAGAACATCCATTCATGAATAAGATAAGAACCGAAAACTGATTATTTTAAACTTAGTCAGATTTGAATTTAATCAACAAAAATTCTAAATCACGGAAGTGATCAATACTCATTATCATCCAGAATGTTCGTTCATTATTTTAAAATTTTAAATATTTTTGATAGGCAAATTCATACAGCAATTCTGCAATCATCTTGCTTTGTTATTGTTTTGATTCATCACAAACATTAATGTCTGTTCTACATAAATTCACTTTTGCCCCGTCTCATGGAAAAGTTTTTCTGTTTGTAGTGAGGCATGCGTCACAAACTTTTGTAGCTGTTTGCAAACGTGCAATAAATTTATAGCTTCGTGTCTGCAAACGTTTCAACTTTTTGTATCAAAAATTCATGATAATCTTAATTGCTATAAATCACAGCAGAGATTTTTACGTCCAGTAATCTTTTACTAATTTGTAAGTAATTTGAATATCACGAAAAAGCAGGCAATCAGCATTCTTTAGAAGATTTTTTTTTGACACTATGTTGTCATAGAAATTTAATATTTGATAAGGTTTTTTGAGCATTCAAAATAAAGCGACAAATATTTTTAAAAGTTAAAGTTTTAAGAGCATTCATTTGAGAAGAGATTGGCAAAGTTTGCGAAAATTCTAAACCAAACTGCTAACAACTAAGGTTTTTAATTCCGGCATTAAATGTACTGAATTCCAGGTTTGAAAGCTCTACAACAACTAAATATAGTCTATCAAATTTCTCACTTATTCCAGACTTCAAAATTATATGAATCATCGCCATAAAATGCATGTGCTGCATGTACACGTGATGGATATAAAAAACTGATCAATGAACATTTTCAAAAAAGATTAAGTTTTAAATTCTAATCTAATTTCACAATAGTAACAACTTTTTTTGCGGCAAAAGTCAATTGCATCATCTGCTTTTGCATAACTGATGATCACAACTTAAAACATGAGTGAGCATATTAATATAAACAAATAATACAAATTAAAATGTTGATGATTAACTTTAAATTTCTGAGAAATTAAAAATATAGTGATACATTAGGAATGTGACAACGGAATTTAAACTTTTTTTTTGTGATTATTTTAACTGAATCCTAGCCAAACTCCAAAACTATGCGTCTATGTGTGGAAATCAGGGGCGTAGCCAGAAAAGTTTTAAGGGGGGGGCCCATTTTCGAAAATTAAAAAACCGTTATTTTGTATCCTTAAATATAAATATATATTCATTCTTCATAAGTTTAAATATTGAATTCATTATTCATACATTAAATTTAATTTTTCGATCTGATTTTGACATTTCTTTCATCACTTCCTCTACATTAACTGGTTCTTCTCTATAAATACTTAATAAAACAATTATCAGATTTTCGTAGGGGGGGCCCGGGCCCCCTATGGCCCCCCTGGCTACGCCCCTGGTGGAAATAATCGTTAAAAATATTAATCAATTGTTCTGATATGCTAAGAAAAGAAGGCAGATAGTATAATGATTATTCTAGAAATATTTAAGGTCGTTCACTTAACCGAGCAACACAAAATAGGCAAAGGAATTGAAACGGAAACCACATGAACTTTGACTGACAAATGAAGCCTTATGAGGATCAAAATAGTGAAAAACTTCATAACAAAAATTAAAACTAAGAATTTATCACTGAACTTCATCAAGGGTGTGGAACTGAAGAATTACATTTTGATCATTTTTGATCAATTCATTAGTACCACACCCTTGAACTACATCTTTAACGCACTTGATCATGTTTTCTACAGAAACCAATCAATAATTTTGAAAACTGAGGATTACTACTTTGGATCCTAACAATATCTTTGGATATTTCGACTCAATTATTTAAGAATGGCAAAAACAAATCCGCTGAACAAATCCACTCAACTTATTAAGTTTCTCAATCAACTAATCGCAATTTCCAAAACTTTCTTAATAATATTGTTTTAAAATTCAATTAACTAGTTTGGATATGGAATGATTTTCATTCATGCGAAGCCAAAATACTCGAAAGGAGTCATAAATTTGTAACTTTAAAAGAAAACTGCTAAACCTAATTTTAAAGAGCGCTAAAAAGTCTACCTTGCTTGTATAAAAACGCCGATGACATTTTGCCTCACTGATTGTAAACTTCCACTTCCACAAACACAATTATTTTATATTATTTTTTTTTAATTAAAATTCTCGTCAACTTTTATATTTTGCGAACTAGCAATTTTCGTCACAAAAATGCTATAAAAAATTAATTCCGTATAGTTGAAAAATCGAGAAACAACTGAGACTGATATTGAAATAAAACAAAATAGAAAGCAGATTATTGTAAAGTGAAGACTGAAAAGAATGAAATCAATGATGAGAGAGAAGCCCACAATGATGAGAGAAATATGACGATTATATATTACACAATGTCGGTACTATCATGGAACGCATTAAGAACAAAGTATAGCGTAGATTGAAAATATCAACAGAAAAGACGAAGATGCTCACAGAACAAAGCAATACTCTCAGTGGCGAGGTCGCTATCATCGTAGATTGCTATTTATAAGTTTTCATCACAATTGAAAATTATTGGGTCGTTCATAAATGACGTTTGTTTATAAATGTGATTTTCAGTTTTTCTTCTTTGTATCACAAAGAATTCTATTTATTGTTCAGACTCCAATTCAATCTCACAAATCAGACATCACATCCCAATAACCCTAAATTACCCTTTTGTTTACTATTAAAGTATTTAAAATATGACATTGACATTCAATCGATTATTTATTGACTCATGAGAACTATGCGAAAGGGAAATAATGGAAATAATTCATAACTGACGAGAAGTCATAAAAGTGTTAAGTAACAAATCGATTGAATGAATAAATTTGTTATTCTGTTTAGCAAATTCCATCAATGATCTTTGAATGAATATGAAGCATCTGAATTGAATGATTTAATGCATTGTGAATTTTTCTTTAGAATTTTAAAAGCTTTGATGGAATTTTGTTGAGTTTTAAAAATATTCTTTTTGGTGCATTGATGTTGAGGGATCATTCATCAGTAACGTCTTCTTTATAAGTGACTCTTTTATGTTTATATACTATGGGTCCTCGATTTGAGTAACGAAAATTAATGAATAGAAAATTTAAAAAAAATATTTGTAATGGACATTCTTCATACAAAAAGTAAATAATTCGATTTGAGTAGATTCGATTTAAATAGGATTTTTCTGGAAAAAACACCTACTCAAATCGAGGACCCCCAGTATTTAGAACTCATAAATCCTAACTTGATATTCTTCATCACTGGCTTCATCTAAACTCTTACTAATTTACAATCACGTTGTAAGAACAAACAACTTTGCCAATGTAAGTTAAACTAGTTGTAATCTTCTGCAAATGACAGGTAATCTTGATGAAATTTCTTAGATTTGATTCTGATGTAAATGACAGGAAACATCTTGAGACATTATAAACTCAACATGCAGCATAAATGTTCACGTTTTAAGAATCTACATAGCAATGATTTTTATATCTGACAACAAAATGAATTTAAGATCTTGTCAAAATGAAGCCATCTATCGTAAAGTAATAACAGAAATTTAGACACTCTTTCTTTTTCAGACGTCAATGCTAATGAGCCCTAAAGATGTTTAAAATTTACGTGCATTGACCACAATGAACATGAATTTTTTTACATACTCAACATTTTCCATAGATCAGCATGTTCATCGCATGACTTTGAATTATAGAAAAATTCTCACCGAACGTACATTTAGAGTAATAAGCTAGTGAGAGACTTGAAAGGGAAAATGATGAAAAAAGAGAGAAAACAATTTGAAAATAATGATGAATAAGCAAAATAATTTCAGATTAAATTGTTTTCGGATTACACAATTTTCATGACTTTGTTTTTAAAGGAGTAAATAGTTTGTGAATTAATCAACATCCTGTCGGTTTTGTAAAGCAAGAATTCAAATGTTTTTATTCAGTAAGACAAAATCATAGAGCAAAGTTTGAGAATTTCTGATGCAGGAGATATCCTAGTTTAGATTAATGAGACAACAGCTTCAAACGGGAAAGCTAGGAGAGTAAGGATCAAAATCCCTTCGAAAAATATATCTGACTCCTTCCAAGTCTACGATCAAACAAATGTTATCCTCAATTTAAAGAGAATTGCATCAGCAACATGCATTTATTAATAAATAATTTCAAAATTTAAATGCCCGTGTTTGAATTAGTTCACAAAACTGAAAACATTTGGAATCGAATCAATTAACAAAAAAATTATAGCTTTTCACTGGAAATTTCATCGATTCCGGAAGAATTTGACTTCTTATTCCTCGAATTTTTCAAATTGCATTTAAATTTTAATTGTTGAACAATTTGCAGAATAATGCTGAGTTTTGAAACTGTGGGCTGCATTAGTCTGACATACAATAAAGACATCTTTGTGTGAATCATTGGAAATTGACAGACGATAGCCAGCGATAGAACTAGTTATAAGCATCAACTAAGGGAGGTCATGGATTACAATTGATCTGTACGACCAGCGAAGTAAGTAAGCTGTGTGAATCAAAGGAGTTCATTCCTAGTTCTTAACGATCCTCAAAAAAAGTCTCAAGCATGACATTCATTAGAATTCTAGAGTTATGACACGAAAGTTGATAAAACATTAAAAAATAATAAAAACAAGCACCAGGCAAAGTAATAAATAAAACAAACGGAATCGCATTAATGCGAAACATTTAATTAAAAGAAACTTGTTGATTTTTTTTCATTCATTTTCTTATCAATTGAATTAGTAAGTGTGTGATGATAAATTTGATTGTATTCAATAAACTTAGTAGTTTCTGTTTAGTAGCATACATTAAGTATAAATGCACTCACTTAGGAACTTCATTGTGGTCTTTTTTATAGCAGCAACTTTTTTTAAAAACTTTATTGTTTGGATAGCTCAATAAGACTAATTTTCAATTCCCAAACTAATCTCGTCAGATATCTCAATTGTATTAACTGATATGAGCATTGCTTCATTTATTGAACAACAATATTTTTTTGGATAAGGTAGTTTAAAAAGTAAGAAGATTTGATAAGGAATCGGGTCACCTAGAATTTAAATTATGATGGAGCATTTTTTGTTTATACGAATTTCATTCGATCATTCCTGCTTGTTGTGTTTGGAATGGCAGTTTTAATTGCAATAGCTGCAGTAGTCTAGTGCTAACAGGGAGAGAATAACTGATCAAAGGAGTCAAGAGTCCAATTTGCTCAGTTCCACATACTTGACCCTGTATCTGAAAGGACCCCTGAGAGACTCCCTGTCGAAGAACATATCTGTAGTAGATAGGCCTGAGCATAGGGCTCGCTTGAACTGGTTATATATGTATGACGGATAGCCAAAGTGAGATAAGGACTTTGGTGGTCGAGTGGCAGAAATCTCTGATCGAGTGGTCAGAGATCGCCTCTTTTGAGGTCATTGGTTCGATTCCCATCGAATTCGACTCTTTTTACATTAGTATACATATATGGCAGTTATGGGGAGATCTACAGACCCTCTCTCCCCTCATGAATTTGAACCCTTCCTTTTCCTTACAATTTCCTTACTCAATCTTCAATTCTGCGAGTCAACCTTTACATCATCGAAAAGTCAACTTATCATGTTATATAACATGCAATAATTCTCATATTTTCCAAATATTTTAGCATCAAAAAATAAAGTAATTACGTGCATAGATGAAGCTTTTTATTCATTCTTCCTGCATTAAGTTCGAATTTTCAAGTCAATAAAACCTTAAAGAAATTCGTGGTTTATTGAAAAAGTCGTGCCTTAATAAGTTCAAGCACCAAGCAAAATTTTATTACTCGATCGACAAGTTTTCCTTTTCATTTATAGAGTTTGACATAAGAAGACAAAAATGATTTTTTTTTTGCAAATTAAATTTGGGTAAACGATGGATGATGATGATAAATGTGTCAATGATAAGAATGAATAAATAGTATTATTTATCTATACTATACAAGTGTGCGCATAGCTAGCAACTGAATTATAGTTCATCATTTTTTGACGGGGAACATTTTGATTGGGTCTAGTGAAGTTGGTGACTTTATGAGATTTTCAGGAATTTTGAAAGCAATCAGGTGTTCAGGTTTTTTAGTGTCTAGTTGTCACGACTTTTTGTAGGTGATAATAAGGTTGTTGTAGACCTCACTTGACAATAAATGAAAAACTTATTAAAATAAATTTAAAGTTTTTGGAATTTTAGTCATGCATTTAAAACTTCAGGGATAAGCTAGACACCCAACTTAAAAGACATCCTTGAAATTCATATCACAATACTTTTTCTAGTCTAAAGTATGTCAGCATCTCATATTCATGTATCTAGCTCCAACTTTCTTTGGGAAGACTTCAATACTCCCCTTAAAAATTGAAGTCAGGCTTCCCCCTGATACAAATACACTCTTAAATCCACAAATACAAAAACATAATCTCCTCATAAAGCATCCAAAATATTTTCATGATAAAAAAGTCTGAGATCTAGCAATAGCGATCATATCAACTAGATTGCTTTATCATTGCCTTCTCACTTTTTTTGATAACGTTATTCACTGAATTTTGATAAAACTCATTTCGTCATCTCGTCTATAACTATGTTTACATCCAGTAATACGTTTGAAAAGTTCTCAACCCTAGCCAATACATTGTATTAATGAGTTAAATCAATACGAAAATAAATAAAAGTGCTTACGAATGAGAGAGATTCCAATGTCATACTCACTTACATTACATGCTGACTGTCTTATCCGTACAGTTCTCATTGAAAAGAATCTTACAAAAAATATTTGTAATTTTCGCATAAACTTGTGCACCATGTTGAAGCTATTATTATTATTTTTAAGGCCTCTAAAACGTGTAACTTTTTAAAATTATTTTTTTTTTTAAGTTTACAGTTCTTTTGACGTTGCAGTGTGAAATGCTAATGAGCGCATATAACGACATTCACGAAGATAATCAATCACATATAATCAGCAGCAAGTTACTTTCTATCACATTTTTTCTTCACTTCTGTCAATGTTTTCAACTCAAATTGACTAAAATGTATTAATTTTTTGCTAGCAAAAAAAAAAGAAAAACTTGGCACGTCCTTATCACAATGAAGAAGCTACTGAACTAAATTCACACGACTCCGCTTATGAAAAAATAAAAATTGACTTGTATTCACTTACATTTGCTAATTTTTCTTGTCCGATGGACGTGAATGAAATAATGTAGAATATATAGCAATTGGAGCTGAGAAGGAACTTTTTTTTATGCTTAATTGCAAAAATATCATCTTATCGCTTACGGCAGAAATGCATTTGACCTCATCAAAGTCGCATCAACAGATGAAGTGGAACAAGAAGTTAAAATAAAGATACAAAGAAGTTAAGTTGCATATTGATAATCTACTGTTTGTGGATGGATGTGTTTTTAAACGCTGTCTTGTAAGGAACATAGCATGCGGGTATAATCTTGAATTGGGAGGGAGTAAGGGGGTCTGTTGTGGTTCTAGACCTCGACATCCTCATCCTTGTTCAAACTATTTTAATTTAAATCCTCTGAAAATAATTCTCCCCAACTCCACCTCTGCCTTTCTCAACACATGACAATAACAATGGAGATAAGGCTTACCTCATATCCCGATCGTACTTCCACAGTTGATTCTCAAAAAAGAATTTATGTATGCAACAATAAACTAGTTTCTCTTAGCCGTAAATAAATCACTTAAGGTATTTCCTTTTCTTTCGCATATATAGAAGCTTCAATGTCATGAAGAGAAATATGTGTAAAATTAATCATAATTTATTCAATGAGAACTTTTTTGCAAAGCATAAAATTATTTTACTCGCCACGCTATGTTATGTTGTCTGACTCTTTTTTTGACAGTTGAGCTGGTTTTTTTGGAAGTGTTTGGCGGTGTCAGAGTCACTTTGGGACATTTTATGAGTTATTGGAAATTTAAAAAAATAGAGCATGGATTGGTTTCTAGTGCTACCCAATCGTAGTACTCTACTTACAGTATTAGATCTGTTTTATATGGAGGAACTCTAGATAACTAAGCGAAACAGCAATTAAGCAGTTAAGTGCCTTGCTGGTCGAATAGGTAAGGCGCTTGGCTCAAATTTGGTATGGTAACTCGAAGGTCGTCGGTTCGAATCGAGCCATTTCCAAATTTGTTCTTTTTCAGAAGTTTAGATACTTCGACTACTTAATGTACGAGATCAAGACATAATTGGGCATTTTAGGCAACGTTGGATTAAGGAACGGACCAGGAAATTGAAGTGTAGCGGGAGAAATAGGAACGAGAGCTCCAAGATTACCTTATAATGGAATATTGTCAGAACGGACCTGAAATGTATCACGTCGCGCCCACAGAAGATTGAAACGAGAGCCTGAATTTAATCGAAACCTAGATTTGAAGATTAGAAGCTTGATTCTACGTCACCCATAGTAATATGAAATGTATCACTTGATCATATTAATTAATCTCATACACAACATCCCAAAAGCGCCACAATTAACAAATCTGCATTCATTTCCTTACTAAGAATTTAAATGTCTGCACGAAGAACTTTATTTTTGGATTAAATGCTTCCTTTTTTCATGGTGTCATAATTCTTTAAAGTTCATTAAGCTATACGAATTGAAACAGTTAATAAAATTTGACTCTAAGAACCTGTTTCACACAGCAATTCCAATTTGTTATGCATGTTGAGTAATTTGTCTGGAATTCACACAAAAAGAGAATTATGCTTTTGTCATTTTACCGGCAATCGCTTCTTAATCGTGCATGAAAGTGAAGTTAACACAGTTTTGAATAATAAATGGCTTTATTCCTATTAGTCTAAAAGATATTATTGAGTTCCTATACAAATCTGGATGCTATAGCTAATAACTTTGTGTAATCAGCTCCTTTGGATCTTGTTTTCTCTTTTAATATTGTCCTGAGGATTGTTGGGATTGGAACGAATATTCTGGTTCCTAAAGGTGTTCCGTTATCATCTATTAATACGACATTATTTGTGTCAAATCGTGGAGTTTTCGGCTTCTGCATTTGCTTCATTCCAACCAGAATTCCCTTCTTCTTTTGACCTTTAATTGCTACCATAACTTTATCTCCAATAAATCCGACCTTTTTCTGATTGTAGACATGGATTGTTTTTGGTGGCTTTCCTTCCATCATAGCTCTCTTGCCTATTTCACTGTTATCAACAACTCTTAGTCTTGTTAATAGCCTGACTTCATTGTTGATTGCTGTTGTATGAAATAAATTCGCTGAAACTCGTGTGACAGCTTTTAAACTAGACATTATTGATGAGCTCGGGAACACTGGAAGTAGATAATATCGTCAGAAAGTAGAAATAAGGTATTATAGCTATGTTTTCATACTCTTTACTGAATTTAATTAATTTTTAACCAAAACAATCCACAAAACTCTAAAGTAATTTAAATATTGAAAACCCGTTATTTCTAAGAAAGCTTAACTTTGCAAAACATTCGTGCATCAACAAAATTTCTCGTCATAAGCTATTCTGCGCACTACGCCCTTGCAAAAAACTCAGTAAGATAAACATCGACAGTAAAATATTCAGTTCCAATTAGAAAATTCAATTTTCGTGGATTTTTCCAAACATTAATTAATTCGAGGAATCTCAGCTTGTAGTTAAACTACAAAATGGTAAGGAATACATAAATACAGCTTAAAAACAAAGTGAATAACATGAATATCGATTAAATTCCACAGTCGCAAGAAGTTGAGGAAACTTTAAAGAGAATCCAGCAGCACAAAGGAGTTGTAGGCACAATAGTAGTCAATAATGAAGGTAAGTTAATTTATAAAAAGATCCAGTGACGATAAATCACGTAAATGAGCAAGTTGTCTTGAAGAATTTACAAATTTTATCGATCAAACTGAACAGTTGTTTACATTCTTCTGGATGATTCATATCCATACATACAGTATAAAGTTTGTTGCTATAAGTGATGTCATGAAGACTTACTGTTAGAATTTCTTTTTCGCATTTTTGTAGGTGTAGCCGTTAAAAGTACATTAGACAACACATCAACAGTTCAATATGCTGGATTAATGGGACAGCTCGCGGATAAAGCACGAAGTGTTGTACGAGATTTAGATCCATCAAATGACCTAACATTCCTTAGAATTCGCTCAAAAAAGCATGAGATTATGATCGCACCTGATAAAGATTTCATTATGATTGTGATTCAAAATCCAACAGACTAAAAGTGCTGTTGCCTTTACTTAAATTATTTAAATCCAAGATGCTTATTATCGTACACAACTTACTCATTTAATAAAATTTTCCGTATATGCTTTTCATAACAGATTTTCATGATTTTAAATGTCCCCGTCCATAAGTTTTTCACAAGCATGCAGGCAAGGAAAATGTAATGTCACAGATGTTCGAAAGAGCATCAAAGTGAGAGTAATAATCAGTCCTACAATTATTATCACGCAAGTGCCGAATTAATCCATAAAAGTATGTAAACAATGCAGACGAAAAAAAAGTGATAAGCTTCGTCTCTTTTTACGTGTGTGACTTTATATTCTTTCGGACCGATTATTAAATTAATTTTTTTCATAAACAGTCTACAAGTGAATGTCAAATAGAGTGGAAGCAAAAAAAAAATATATTAAAGGTCAGCAATGAAAATAGGAATATTAGGAAGCGGCGTAATCGGACTGACTACAGCACTTGAGTTGCAAAAGGAGTATCCAAATGCCACAATTTCGATTGTTGCTGATCGATTTTACAAGGACACAGTCAGTTATGTTGCAGCTGGAATTTTCAGACCAGGAACTGCATTTTCAGGACCTACCGAAGAGATAACAAAGAAATGGGTCGCAGATTCATTCGAGCACTGGGATGAGATAAGGAAAACAGCGGAAGCTAGTAAGGCAGGCATAACGGAACTGTCAGGATACATATTCTCATCAATATCGGAATCTATCACACGCGTATGTACATATTTACCTTATCTAATCTCCTTTATTATCATTTAAAAATAATTAAGTGGCTCATTTTTGTAGAATCCACTAATTGAAGATGTTTTGCCTGTTTATCGCCGTGCAACAGAAGAGGAATTGAAAATATGCCCTGGAGACTGGAAATATGGAAGCTTCTTCTCAACTCTTGTCACTGAATGTGGTTTATACCTGCCTTGGGCCACTCAAAAATTCTTAAATGCTGGCGGCATGGTCTTTAACAAGAAAGTCAATACATTTGGGGATATTTACGGTGATCATGACATTGTCATCAATTGTACAGGAATGAATGCTAAGGAATTATGCAATGATCGTAAACTAGTCCCAGTTAGAGGTCAAATTTTAAAAGTTGATGCTCCTTGGCTTAAAATGGCTTATTATGCTGACTATGATACTTACATTGTTCCTGGATTCAGTGCAGTTACATGCGGTGGTTGTAGAAACTTTGAAAGTTGGGACATGAAAGTAAGTCCACATGACACAGCAGCAATTAAAGAACGATGTGAAGCTTTAGTTCCTGGTCTTAAAACAGCGCCATTAAAGGAGATTAGAGTTGGTCTTCGACCACATCGTGATCCATGTCGCGTAGAAACTGAATTTATTGATATCCCAAATCGAGGCATCATGAGAATTGTCCATCAATATGGTCATGGTGGATATGGAGTCACATGTGCTCCTGGAACTGCAAAACATGCTGTTAAATTGGTACGTGATGTATGGACTGGATACAGCAAATTGTAAATGCTGATGACTAGCTGAACTTTGTATTTATGTAAGAATTGTATAATTAATATGCATTTAAGTATGTAGATGAGAACGCTGTAACACTAATGATTGAACGAACAATACACAAAAAATAATATTAACGATATTATCACTAGAACTACGACTGCATGCACTTCAGTTTGCATCTATAGAATCTAGCTTCGAGTTGTATTTTTCGTCTTATTCAAATTATTTTGTCAAACTGTGCCATATGTCGAGAAAATAACAATCACTTGCGTAACATTCTCTTTACTTTTTCATTATCAATTGAGATAATTCATATATATACATGCTGGAGAGTATCAAGTGTCTTTTTATCTCGTCATCAAGTACTTATAAATATAGAATGTACAAAATAATAATATTGTTGGCTGTTTTACTTATTAAATCATCAAATGCCACAGCAATTTCGTGGGGTCAGATCAGAAATGATCATGTCCTTCTTTTTGATCAATTCTTTCACGATCGAGATGATGTGAATGAACTGGAACCCAGAACATTTGTTTATTCGACACGAGGAACATTGATTTCTGGAATACAGGTCGTTGACTTGACAGGTAATGAAGGTGGAACTGTCGAAATTCAACAAGGCGGAGTTCATCATACGTTCGTGAAAATGAAATTAATTCCAAATAGACATCGATTGCTCTTGAATGTGGAGATATTTGGTGTACACGATGACAGAGATGATTATTTTTAAAAATTCATCATTTTTGAGTGGCTTCAGAACCGAAACATTTTACCATTGTTTAATTTATTTTGCTTTTTTCTGTGTTACAGTTACAATTTTTTTCATCAATTTTGTTTCTTTTTTTTATTAACTTGATTATCAATGAGGCAATTTTTTTTTCTAGTTCCAATTTTTTTTTTCTCAGTAATTTCCATCAATTTTAATCTTTTTTTTTTATTATTTTTTTTTGCTTAATTTTTGTGCAATTCCTCTCTGTGTGGAGCAATGCACGTTATTTATTTCTCTCTCTCATACAGTTATGTGTATTTTAATTAGGTATATATTATAGATTAATTAATGTTTAATATTATGTATCTTTATCATCTTTTAAAATAATTTTTAAGGATTATTATCTTCATACATTTAGAGAATAAATCTTTTTAGAGGAAGTGAGGATGAACGGAAACTGTTGACACTTTGTGGGTCGATTTAATGGGTTGCAATCGGTTTATTGTGTATTAATAAATCAAACCAACTTGTAGAACAATATCTTTTAAAGTTATTGACTTAAGTCGACTTGAACCAAATTGACTTCGAGTTCTATAAGATTTTGTACGAAAAATCGATTCAATCGTTATGATAACCAATACAGTAAGCAATGTTAAATTACGAGGACTCAGTCCATGAGCTAAAGAATATACAACCAAAATGATTGAATTTTCGAAACTATTTTTGAGTTTACTTCATCCTGTTGCTGTTTGACTAACTTTATTGATGAATATCTGCGACTTGCTAGAGCTTTAAAAGCCGTGAATTTCAAATGAAATTCAAAAACCTAAGAACTGTTCTATGAACTTTTATTCTGAAACTGAACCTTAGCATAATCACATTACTGTTTCCTCAATTGAAGAGCAATTGCATGTACCAGGATATATTAATGCATTGAACTTAGTCATATGTTACGAGTCATGACATCGCAAGTTACCATTTGATAAAAACTATAGCAAACTTTCCTCTGTGATCCACATTAGTCACTCATTTTCCATCCATTCACAGTTCCTTTTTTTATACGAGAACATTTTTTTCTTAATTTTCCACCTTATTTTTTTTATTTCATAACCTCCACGCAGATTGCATAAAGGCCTACTTTGTTTATCTGTTTTATTATATTATTAAGCTTAGTTATATTTCGCGATACTTCCTTTCACATTTAAGCATTATTTAATATTTTTTTGTGTGAATATTAGTCGTTATCATACTTGATCTTATTTGTCATGCATTATATTTCTATCTTTTTTTTATTATTCTTTGATTTAGTCGTAAGTTTTATCCTCAAAATTGAATAACTGTCTCTTTTCTTTTTGGTCATCCATCCACTTCAAAAAAGAATTTAATCAGCGTTGTGTAATCACTGTTCTGTTTCGCAAAATAAAAATCATAAAAAATAAGTTTTCTTAGGTTCAATATTGCCCTCATCTCATCATAGGCACTGAAAAAGAATTTTTCATTTCTATGAGGCTCGAGACTATTTAACTTATTTATACTTCTGTTTTTAGTTGATTTTTCAGTCTACATCTTCTTATTCTCATGTTTTTATGTAATTAATGCACAAAATGCATTTCCTCAGCGCAGATTCACAAACGTGATTATGTCTTTGCATTATTTATTATTATTCCTTTCAAATGAAGATTATATTTAGAAACCTACAGTTACATTATACTCTTTTATTACTGCTGTATTATTTTCTTCTTTTTTGTTTTTGTGGATTAATATTTCATTTAGACATGGGATTAGCTTAATTTTCTATCATTTATCTCGTCATCTTTCTTTTATTCCTTATTATCTTAAATTTATAATTTTTTTTCCAATTTCTGGAAGTTATATTTTAAATGGGAGCAAGATGTGAAGTTGATCAGGTCTTCAGATGAAATTGAGTGAGTTTTTAATGCACAAAATAATTTTGAAATTCTTAAAACCATACAAATTTAAATAACTGTTTAAGGGTTTTGAACCTGTTGTATGGTTCTTAGAATTTATAAGGTTTTGATCACAAAAATAGCTGTTGTATGGTTTTCATAGAAATAAACATCATTTGTAAAGTTCTAGAACAGTAAAAACAATTCTATGACTTTTTAACATATTGAAACCATACAAATCCTAAAATAATAATAATTTGTAAGGCTTTAAGGACACCCAAACAATTTCACGAATCTTTAATCACTTTCACATTCTGCATGTATGCAATATATAGAATTTTATTACACCATCATCTTCCATCAGTTATTTTTCGTTTAGAAACATTAATTATTAAACACTTTGTAGTGTACTGAATTAAATTGTGAGCTTATAACTTTTATAAATCATCCACCAGTTCGATCCTTAGACGTTTTTATATATTTTTATTTTCTTTCTGATTGCATCCAGTTATTCACTTACTTCTTTAAATGTCTTCTTTCTCATTTCTCAATTCGTGCGTACGGTTCGTGACGATAACGTGATGATAATGATCTTTCAGAATGTTCACTTCTGTGCGAATGAGAAACACTACTGTGCCCATGCCTTTCACGGACGCTTTCTTTCCACGATGATCGCGATTTCACTATGATTTTGGATAAATTTTTTCATTGATTATTATTATTATTATAGTTAATTTAATTTTATTATGTTTTTTTTTTGTTATATTATTTCTTCTTTTCATCATTTTTATGGGGATTAATGTTATTAATAGATTTTTTTTTTATGAGTCATGTGTCGAGATTCAGATTACTCTTTCTCTTTTTTTTATCGGGAATTATCTTGTTTTTATGGGTATTTAAAAATTTATCAATCACTAGTTATCTTGTGTTTTACTTCATCTATTTCTGCGCTGATAATCCAAATCTTTGTTGAACGATGAAATTTGCGTCTTGAATATTTAAATTCATTCCACTCATCTCATTCGATCAGTGATTCTTATAATTATTATTATTTTTATACGTGTGTGTTTTCACATTATTTTGAAAAAATGCGTTTTGTACGTTAGAGTTACCTGGCGCGTATGTCGGTTCTCGTGGATGGTGATACTGATATTCTGGTGCGGGAACGGACTCGTAACGGTATGATGGTGGCCTGTGAACTGCGTGACTGTCATAAGGGTATGGGTGGTGATGATGTGCTTCATATGTCTCTTCATATCTACAAAACATTTAATTGACAACCATAATTGGTAACTTATTTGAGTTATTAATAGTCTTGCGACTTACGGATGATGTTCGTGATATGCGGATGGTTCTGAAGTTTTATAACTTTCTTCCATCGCAATTCTGTGGTATACAGGCGAACTAAAGATTTATCAATTAGATAATACTGGAATAATCAGATGCAATTACCTGGCACGATCGAGGATTGACAGGATCTTCGTCTTGGGTGGAACTACTGTTGGCGTCCTCGATGACATTGGTCGTTCGCTCGTTGAAACATGATTTCTGAAATTTAAACCATATTAAGATACTATGATGATTAAGATACATTAAGATGGTTACGAGCCCATAACGGGACCCGTTCAGTGTAAAACCAAAACCCTCTCAAAACCCTCTATAAAAGTATTTAAATTACATCCGTAATTATGCTTAGAATAGCTTTAAAATCGTTCCTGATGAGAAAAAAACATAGTTGGAATCGACTATTGTAAAAAAGGATAAAGTTCCAATTTTGCATGAAATTACAAACTTTACAAATGCAAAAAACCAACTCGGTAGAAAGTGTTTGAGTTTTAGCCGAAATTTTCTCGGGATCTTGGGGGAAATAACGGTTATTAAAATTTAAAAATTCATCACGCACTCAGCATTTAAGCGATATATAGGAGAGATGGATATAAAATTGAATGGGAATCAACATACTTGTATTGCGCTTTCTGTTTGATTTTTGCAATTGCTGCCTCGCCTAATCCACCTTCCATAATCTCTCTTAATTGCTCCTGTCTTATTGTGTCGTTTGAATCTGGAATCAAATATTTACGGACTTCTGCTAGTGCGTATGCAATTCTTGCGTAGCATTCTGATGGAGGTCCAATTGCTGATATTTCAACATGCAGATCGTCATTTAGATGAGCATATTTTGGATCTGCTGCTTGTCTTAGTTCCTCTTCCTATAAATTAACATATGTTTAGATATAATCACTTCCAAACTAGTTTAATGTTGGAAAATCTGGTAAGAATCTTGTATGCACATTTTTGTTACTGTATCTTTACAACAACAAACATCCAGTAAGTCAATTTACCTTCTTTTTGTCCTTCATTGAACCGCGTCCTAGAATTGCCATTTTACAAAGGGTCTCTTCCTGTAGTCTTCTCATAGAATTTCCTTTTGGACCGAGTAATTTACCAACAAAATTAAATTTTGGATGATCCTTAACTGGCACTATAACTTTTACAACCAAACGAATTTGTTTCTCGCGATAAACATCGACATATCGTTGATCTCTGAACGGTTTGCCGCTAGCTTTTGCATTTTGGATTTCTGCACGTATTAAAGGCCCAAGCAAACAAGAGAGAAAAGCAACAAGAAAACATTTTTTTAGAGTCGGAATGGATGAATGAGAAAAAAATCGATAATTTTATGAAAAAATTCAATGATAATTTTGCCGGAAAGTCTTTAATTACCTTGATCAAGTAGTCTAGATGCATGAGATTCACTATCCAATTGACTTCTCTCCTTAATCAGCTCTTTAATATAGTCATAATTCTTTAAGCCTTCCAAATTTGATTCATCTTCCTCATCATTTCCACCACGTCTCTTAAAGTCTGATTCGTAATAGTCATCCATTATTACTGTCTTCAACGGTTCCTTAACTGCCCAATTACTAGTTTAATTAATTCGTTTAGCACTGTTTTTTAATAAAAAAATAATATTTTTCTCTTCCTTTGCTTCAGTGTTGTTTGAACTGTGTGCCGTGATTAAGTTTATTGAGGGAAAATTTTACAGCTAGAAACTGATGTTTCAACACTGCATTGACTGTAGCTATTCCCCTGCAAGTTCAATTTTTGAATTATTTTAAACAGTTACAATGTGTTATGCAAGAAAGAGCTTTTACTGCTGATTTTTAAAAGAATTTTAAAGTGTAATTTGTGAAAAATACTGAATTGTAAAGTGAATCAAATAATTATGAATGTCAAAGATTGCTTATTTTCTCATGATTAAAGTGAACTGTTTTTAAATTTTAACGATAATTTTATTTTTGAAAATTCTTAAAGCTTAAAAAGTCAAGGTAAGGGTACTTTTGGGAATGTTTAAAAATACTTTAAATTACTTTATCTAATCAAGCGCTTGAGCTTGTCACATTTGAATCTGTTAATTCACGTTCACATCCATCAATTCCAAGGAATATTGAGATAATTGTGTAATAATTTAATCATAATTTTCAGGTTACATAACAAAAGTGATCATACCTTGAACAAAAATCTAAGACAAAACTTAATAAGCTAATTTTAATGTCTAATATTAATTCAGTAGTTTCAAAGTGAATTATAAACATAAAGTGTTACTCTGTTCATAAAGTATCAAGTCGAAAAGTAGTGAAAAATGTCTGGAAACGAGGAAAAAATGGAAAAACCATGCTGCAGCAAATCAATTCAAGAAAATGACAATAAAGATATTAAAATCGCTGAGAAAAAGTACAAACCAGAGTCTAAGAACGGTAAAAAGTTCCATGAAAAAGTAGGTTTAATATAAAATTTGACAATAAAATTTACATCTGATGATTTTGCTTAATTACAGAAAGACACATTAAGTGTACAAATGGGTCAATGCCAACGGCTGCTTAATAGTCTGCGTAAAGCAAAAGATCATTCTGAATATGCACAATATTTCTACTATCCAGTTGATCCAATTGCATATCAATGCCTTAATTATTATGATGTAATTAAGAATCCAATGGATCTGAGTACAATGAATATAAAGATGGAAAAAGGCGAATACAAAACACCAGAGGATTTTGAGGCTGATATTCGACTGATAATTGATAATTGTTTAACTTACAACGGATCACAACATGAAATTGTTCCTTATGTCAATAAATTTAAAGAGGCTTTTGAAGCTCGATTCCAAAAGATTATGAATCCGAAACCCCGCACAAGTAACATTGCACCACCAGAACAAGAGATCGCATATCGAAAGTCAAGTCGTTCCTTCATATTCGTACCAGATGATGAAGATATTCTTGTTAGAGAAATCGCTAAAACACAAAAATATCTTGCAAAACTGTATGCAAAGCATAAGATCATTCTCAATCAACGAGGAGAGCAATTTACAATTTATGATGAGCAGCCACCGGAAGTTCCAAAAACGAAGAAAAGAGTAAGGAAAAAAAGTTCGACTAAGAATCCAAAGAAAAATGCTAAACAGAATGTTAATAGTGAGGAAATGCAGACTGAAATTGATTCAACAGTGCACAGGAACCTAAGTTCAAGCAGTGATGATGAAGATGATCAAATTCCAATGTCTTATAGTGAGAAACGTGATTTGGTGCTGGATATCAACAAGTTGCCTGGTAAATTTAAATAATTATCCAAAAACAAAGCATTTTTTAACTTCTATTTTGCATCATTTAGGTGACAAAATTAAGGAAATATCCAGAATAGTCAAAACTTTAGATCCTAAATGCTACACAGAGCTGGACAACAATTTTGAGATTAGTTTTGCTGATTGCAAAGTTAAAACTCTTCGAGAACTGCAAAAAATCACCAATGCATTCTTCCGTCCGAAACCTGCACGTGCTGTTCCATGTAAGTTGTTTGCATTTAATGTCTACTTGACATTAGTTTTCATATTTTTCACAGTACCCCGTAAAGAAAAGCTTGAAAAGAACAGAAAACTTGTGCAAGATCTGAAAATTGATCTAAAGCAGCAGATGAAAGATTGCGAGACAAAATTAGCAGATGTTGAGGATAGACTGGCTGGATTTATACGCAAAAAAGCAACATCTCCTCAACCGCAGCAAACAGCAGGCAGCTCAACATCTTCAGGAAGTTCATCATCTTCTACGAGTAGTTCGAGTACATCCAGCAGTGACAGTACAAGTGATAGTGAATATAAAGGATAATTCGACCTTTTTTAAACATTTAATTTTTTCGCTAATGATCATTACTAACTTATAACTTTAATATCTATACATAATTAAGATTATAAGCTATAGAAAGTACCTGAATAACCCATTAAATAACATTTTTATAACTTTTTTACCATAAACAATAAAAACATGCCAAACTGTTTAAATTGAAGGTTTCTTTATTGCTAAGCGAAGACAAAATCACTTAATAGTTTATGTCTGGAAATCCATCTCTAAAATTATTGTACAATTCTATCCCCAAAATATCTAGACATCGTCGGCATTATTAATTACTGATATTTAATTACGCACACAAAAAATATCAAATGTCAAGCAGAAAGATGAAAAGGAAGGGTTCAAATGTTTCTTGTTCACTGCTTCAAGTGTTTTGGGGTTCGGAACGCAAAATCAATAAACATGGCTATAAATGGTATAAGTATCCTCCTTTATCCTTTCATTTCGTTTTGTTTGCTTAAAAGAGAAAGTTTCTTCAGAAGGTTGCATTAAAGATGCTTGAATAGATTTTTAAGATACTATTTTGATGCTTTAAACATGACATTGACGATATATTTCTTTAAACTGTTGAATGAGAGTAGTCTCGAGCATTAAAAATCTGAAATAAGTTTAACGGTTTTGTAATATTTGAAAAATATGCTATAAGTTTAACGGTTTTGTAAAATTTGAAATATATGCTATAAATTTAACGGTTTTCTTTGAGTTGAATTTTCCAAAATCGCTAGGTAAGTTCCAGCAGATTTTTAAATTTTACAAAACAGTTAAATTTTTTGCAAAATTTTACAACATTTAATTTTCGATTCTTTAAAGAATGTCACAAAACTCCTTATCTATGTCAGCTCTGCTTTAGTTCATTAAACCTTTCGATCTATGAATACTCTCCAATTTACTATTCATTCATATGTTTTAAAAACACAGTCTGATGATATCGATTCTTTCAAAAAATAACTAAATCACCAAACACAAACTTGATTGAACAGCAAAAAAGCTTCAAATTTACGTCAATGTAAACACTAAAGTTTGCAAAGTTTTTATTGCATTGAAATGAAAGTCGACATAAACTTGTCATGAAGTCATAAAAAGAATTCTTGAATCAAAAGCGAGAAGGAGGAAATGAACAAAAATTGTCATGCATATCATCAATGATCGTAAAACATTTTTTTCTCTCATATTTTATGACACAAAGTGATTTCTACATTCACAAGGTTTCAATCAAAAAAAAAAACTTACATTGCAGCATCAAACTTCCTCTTGTGCATTGGCATGTGAAATTTTCTTTATGAGTACGTGACGTGATTTTTACATTTTCATCTTTAAATAAATCATTAAATGAACATAAAAAGTTGTGCAATTGAGCATTTCTCCTCAAAGACTAACTTGATGTGGCTTCAAATTGAAAGGAAATTGCCAAATGATAGTAAAAAGTGTTATGTCCATTTTAGTATGGATAATTAGAGCTATTTGGAAGGAAAGATGCAAAGTCTTATTGCATTTGTCATTCATGAGATTATGCTGCTCAAAGTTTTTATGTCATCTGCTATAAAACATGTTTAACTGACCCAAAAAATGGGTTTGAAAAAGTTTATTGTCATAATTCTGTAGAAAACCGCGTAATGTCATTCATAAAACTCTTTGCTTGATGGTTTATTTTCTAACGAGGGATGGAAGCTTTTGGACTTAAGTTTTCTGTGTTTTTGATGCGTTTGCTGATACCCAAGTTTAGACAAAGCATTCAACATCAACTTGAGTTGCAACTTCTTACTTACTTTACTTCGCTGACCGTACAGATCAATTGTGATCCATGACCTCCCTTAGTTGTCCTCTAAAACAAGCTCTGTCGCTAGTTACCGTCTGCCAATTGCTGATTCCAAAAGCAACATTGTCTCTATCAAAAGCTCCTTTTTTATGAGTTCTTTGGCCTTCGACTTCCTGCCTTCCTCCAGATTTGTTTCCATCCTTAAAATTGGGCTGGAACTTATTTCATTTGCAACTCCTGCTTTGTTTAATTTAGCATAAAGCAAGATTTGAATGAAAATGACAGAATTACTCAAGTAATGAGAAAAGAAACATGCTTTAATCATCAAATGTCAAGGGGATGTTTGACCTTCTGTTACTGTGTATTCCTCGATGATGAAAATCTTCTAGTCGAAGAAACATTTTTGCTGCAAGAAAAAACCACGTTCAGAGAAAAGTCAACCGCAATTTTTCGAGAAATTGTAATTAAGTAAAATTTGCAATGTAAATTTTTGAGCATTTTTGGTATTGTTTTTTCAGACTTCCATTAAATGTTTGTCTTCTTTGAGGTTATTTATTTGAAATTTGCCTTAAAATTCATTTTGGATGTTTTTTAAACAATCAAAAAGATATCTTTACAACTGCTCCGCAAAACTGTATTGAATTTTGACTTTTATCTTAATTATAATTCTGATTTAAAGGCAAATAAATCAAATAAAAGTCTTCATGTGGAAGTTTCATGTAAAAATTGAAACTTTTTCAAATCCACAGTTAATTATGTAAAACTTTATTTCGAAAGAACTGAATTGAAAAGTTATTCAAGAGAATTTGTTTATTTAAAAAGCAACAAAGTCAGTTCCACTTGTCTTTGGAGGGGAAAGAAAAAACTTTTTTCATTTTATTAAAAAACATTTAATCACCAATTATGTAAATTGCATGTTTTTGTCAACGAAGGACTCACCCTCAATAGAATTCAGAATAAATTAGCATATCATCGAATTATTGACATTTTCATTATTCCATTTTGCTGGAGAATGCAAAAATTTTCATTATAATAATCGCATTACTTGATATTGTATAACAGCTATGGCAAATATTATGAAAATTCAGCTTTTGCAAATTGGAATTTTGAAATATGAAAATGTAGAGAAAGATGTCATAGCTTGTTTCGCAATTTCTCTTGAATTCTATTGGCATGGAGCATAAACGTAAAGGGGCGTTCACTTATGACGTCCGGGGGGGGGGGTCATCAAATTCATTCATCAAATTTAAAAAATGTTTTTGGTGTGAATTTGTAAATTTATCCAGACCCCCCCCCCCCCCCTAAAATTCGAACGTAATAAATGAACGGCCCCTTAAAATTGCTAAATGAAGCCTTTGACTTTTACTTTTTCATTACTTGGTGGTTTGAATATCTTTCAATGGACGAAAATAAATGTGAGGGAATAATTGGTTAGAGGCTATTTTCATGTAATTAGTCTTTGATATTTATTTCCACCCTTTTTACTGCTTTATGTTTTTAATTTATATTTTTACAACAATTTTCTTGAGTATCTTCATTTATTTTAATTGAAGATGAAAGAAGACAATTTTTAATGAAGCCATTTGTTCACCTTTCTCCCACAAAATATATTTTATTCTGCTTCTCTTTGTGTTTTCTGGCTTTAAATTTCTTCTGTCTTGAGAGTCTCAATGGAATAATTTAATGGAGAATCTTCCTTAAAACATTAACATGTATATAGATGTCATTTTGTCAGGGGCGTAGCCAGGAATTTGAAGAGGGGGGACAAATATTTTTTTGTATGGAAAACTTTTAGGGGGGGGGGGGGGTTAATTTTTCGAGTTTTTCATAAAAATTCTAGCAAAATGAAGAAATTTTTCAAGACGTATAGGGATTTGTCCCCCAAATACCCCCCCCCCCCCCCCCCGACTACGCGCCTGCATCTTGTAGACAAAAGGAATCCTCATTTAAAGACAACAAAATAATGTCAATAAGACAATTAATTTCAATCGTGTCTGAACCTTAAAGCATCTAGTTATGATTCCATTTAGTGTTTTTGTCAAAGGTACTGAACTATAAACTTATTGTGCACTATAAAATCTTCAGAATTTTGAGATAGCTTCAAAGTTCACAAACAACTCAACTTTTAAAGTTTTGCTTGAATTTCAAACTTTGTAAACAATCTCTCCGCTATCTAGTAAACTCATTCCAAAAGTATCACAATAGAACTATCTGTTGAGCAACAACAAAAAAAAGTATCAGGAAACGGAGAAAACAGAGTTTACATAAATTATTGATTCTTTTTTTCACGATTCTGTTGCAAAACAAAGTTCTATCGTGTCACATAATAAATTTTCTGTTTTGTTTCCCTCTCTTTTATGTTGTATCTACCGTTCATTTTTTCTTTTTCGTGCAATGTTCCTTCAATTCGACTATGATTTTAAAGATTTAAAGGGTAAAATTCCTTCTTTTCCTGCTATAAAAAAAGTTTTTTCCATCTTCAGGGCATTCGAATCATTTATTTTCATTCCTGAAGATTCCTCGTCGATTCATTCTATGTTGTTTATTTTACTTCAACATTCACATTTTTTTTCTTTCCATTCATTCAACCAATTTATTAAATTTTATCGAAGCAGAAGAAAGGAAGTCAAATTGTATAATGAAGAAAGAATAATGTTTGCATTAAAACTCGATGAACTTACGGATGGAACGGCAAAAGTGGGATAACAATTCTTTATTTTTATACTTCTTGCATCATTGAATGTGCAGAATTATTATTATTATTATTATTATTATTTTATTGTTCGTTCCTCCATTCATTCATTCAAAGGAAAAAGCCTCCTTATCCAGTACTTAAACTGGATAAAAAGGCATAAAAAACCTTTGAATTCTTACAGAGAATTATATATACAGAATTATAAATATGTGGGCTCCTCTAGCCGCACATTATGCTTAAAGAGTTTCAACGCAATTATATTGCCTTTAAGAAATCTCTAACAAAAATTAAATTTTAAAACAAAAACTCGTTAAATAACGTTTTCTCAATATTTGTAAAATGATCTGCTCGTTTTCAGTTGTTCTACTTTCATTTCATCCTCTCGGTAAAAATATTCTATCCTCTCAGTATAAACTTGTGTTTGTAAACAAATTGTGCTTAAATGAAAAATAGTGAAAGTGAAGAATTAGTGCTTTAACTACTTATCTAGGACTTTGCAGTGGTTCGGTGACGTATATGATGAACTTCCACTCTGTATTTCAGATAAGTACTCTTCTTTTAGTGTCATTTCTTTTAAATTCATCTAATTCCATTAACAAAGAATTTAATATCTTTCTTTTTAGCTTATTTCGTGTACTTTTCAAGAAATTCACTGCTGAAACAAGATTTAATGATGTTTTCTTGCCTTGC